GCTGATACTTATCTCAGAAGTAACATGAACTGTGGAGGACTCCTAAGTCAGTGGCATGGAACTCATTACATTCTGCTGCATTTCTGGGTGCATGGACAAGGTCGTCAAGTAGCCACATGGCACATCAGGTGGGTGGTAGGATCTCCATATGAGGTGTGTTTCACTCCAGTCCAATGCACACCTGCCCTGGAATCAGCAGGATCTTGAGCCTGGATGACAAAACAAACAAGAAGCTACATGAACACTTCCATGGCTTCATAGAGAAGAACCTGGAGTGGGGGTAGGCAGAGGGGAACATGGCCCTCCTGCTGTCTGCAGAACTTAGGATCACAGCCATCATGACTCACAGGTCCATTGTTTAACAGGGTGTATGATATCCTCTAAAGGCTGCATGGCTTTGGCATGAAAGGCCTTTAATTCCTTTCTAGAAAAGTACACCTTTTCCTCAAAGCTGTGAATGCCCAAAGACCATGCAGGCTGCAGCAGCTATGGAAGAGCTGCCCTTGGTCCTGCTCATCTTGAACTGGTGAACATGCATTTCTTCCCCTTATAGTGAAAAATGAAATGATTAAAACAAATACTGTTTATTCTCCTCAATGCCTGGACCCCCACTGCTATTGTTTAAAGCTTTCATGCACAACCTGTGGAGGTCAAGATAAAACCAGTTTATGAGCCCAACATGGCACATGCTGCTGATGAACATAACTATTTTACCCAAGGGAACAGCTTCAAATTTATTCATCTTGGGCAGCCTAAATATGGGGAAAATACACCATTGTCCCATCCCTTCCATCACATAAAAAACAGAACTAGAAGACATTTCAACCCAGATTCAAGTGGGTTCTTCCATCCCCATATACATTTTCTGCCCTGATACAAGCAATTTATGAAAACTCACTTCCTAAGCTAGTTTGCTCCCAATTGGATGGCACTTTCAAAAAGTGCATGAAGGGAAAATTGGCCTGTTAAATTTCTCCTTTTTCTTGCAACAAATCAGCTCACAAGGTTAACATAAGATTTTCCCACATTACAACATGGACCATGGAAGGACACCATTAGGATCTAATGCCCAGCAGCTTGTCAATGACCTGGCAGCATCCAAAAATGTAATGTCATGGTCAAGGTCCATGAAAAATGAGTTTGCCCCTCCTAGCAAGCAAGGATTAAGCAATATCATCAGTAATGGGTAATCCTTATCCTGATTAAAATAATCATTTATGATAAAAAATTATGAAACAATTGCCAGCAATCTTTTTACAATCTGCACACTGTCCTGCCCAGCACACAATGTCCTCATCACCCAAAGTATTATATAATAATTATCACAACAACATTCTCAAGTGCTGCACATCCACAAACTAGGTGCTACTGTGGCAATCCCATGCACAACAGTGCATGAGTTAGAGCACAGCACCTCTGCTGGGGACAAATTCCAATAACAAATAATGTTACTTAACTTTCAAGGATGACAATATGCTGGGATTTACTCTAAATTTGACCTAACCTCACCTAAAATCTATTTGTCTTTGGGTTAAAACTTCAGGGAGCCCTGCCTCATGCTTAGCTGACTTGATGACCAGTCAACAATAAGCACCATCTTTAAAAGCTTCCATACATATCATTATTACTAGAGTGCAATCAAAATTATTTTATTTCCAAGGACAAGATGGTATATTTTATTATTCTCTTATTATTGTTGGTATTATAGAGTTAAATTAGTTATTTCTGAAAGAACACATCCATTTTAATCACAACCAACCTCCTTTCCTTCACAGACACTGGCACTGCCCAAGAGATACTAACCCTTTGCAAGCCCTCTACCCATGCCTGGCCATCATACCCTAAGATGCTTCAAAACATTGGGTGCCCACTGACATTCTATTGATGCATTCATATACTGCAATACATAAGATGCAGCTTTCCCAACTGTTCTGTGATGTGGCATTCCATGCATGCCCAGATAACACAACACCTGGTATGCTAGAACTGGGGAGGGGGGCAACAGGGTTGAGACCCTTCATGTTTTGAAAATTTACTTATGGTGCCATAGATATTGGTTGAACACAAATAATCAAAACTAGATGTTGGCCCCAGAGCCTGGAAACACCTCCATTGGCCCTGCAATGCATCTTTTATTGCTGTATTTATTTCTCATGTTGCCTGAGAAAAACCATGGATTTTTAATAGTTCTCACAACACAATGCAGGCCAAGTTTTGTTTCACTGACCACAGCATAACCCAGTCTACAAACCATGGCAGATTTAAAAGACCACATTAAGGTTGGGTGAGGCATGGCTTTCAATTTGAGGCAGCTTATCAAAATACTGGGGCAGAGATTTCAGAATTGAACTGTTGAGGGCATTATGTTTTCTATGTATTATGATACACAACATTGGTAAGATCACAGAAGATAACCAAAGCCTGATGGTAAATGACTTTAGGGGCCAGCCAGCTCAACAAAATCTAACCCAAATGAAGGAGTTGTTCTGAACTTGCCCTAGTTAGGGCAGGTTTGCGCCCAACATCACGTTAAGATGTTTGCCATGGTTCGCGGACTGAATGATGATGACCTTCTCCTGTCAATGCTGTACAGATACACACATATTCTGGATTGACACGTGAATGAAGACTACAAAAACAGCACTAAAAACAGCACCTTTACCACATGTACCAATAAATCTTTATCTTTACGTACGTATCCAGCCCTTATCACCTCAGCACGACTGGATCACGTATTCACCTAGAGGGGAAACGGCGCCTCTCGCTCGTCACTGAACGTCGACAATTTACGTTTGGCACTGTCCTCCCAGCAAGCCTAGAATATGCAAAAATGCTGAAGCTAGTGTACCATGGAGCGTCGCATGGAAGAAGAGAACTAAATATTTCACTAATTTGCATCGATTTTTGTCATTTACGGAATAAATGTATGGACTGAGGTTAAAACTGTGGGCTCAAAAATCATCTTTTTGGTTTTATTTCTAGTGCGCATAGGCATCTTGGGCGATTATTGGTTCAGCCCTTCTGAGTCCTCCAATGAAATGGCAGCAATACACTGCGTCATCATTGTATAGCTATCATCGGTTTCCAGTTGTTTTCTTCCAACCTTAGACAGGAGCCAACGCTCTCACTAACTCTCCTTCTTCTTCGAGTGCTTGCGGCGGACGTGCCTGAGGAGGCGTTGTGGGGGACGCTGTGAATTTCGGCAGCTGTTATTCTCCAAGATGTGTGGCGGTTTCACCTGCTCAAAAAATGCGCTAATCGCGCTCAATATCGTTTACGTGGTAAGCTTTCGGATGAGCCCGCGCGTCGGCATACGTTGAGAACACAGTATGACATGCCCTGTCACCAAGATCACAAAAAAGCACACGTCACACGGAACATGTTACATGTTGCACAATGATTTTTTGAACATGTTGCACAATAATCACACCACTTTATGAGCATGTCACATGTTACATGTCGCATGTTACATGCCACATGCTACATGTTACATGTCAAATGTTATGTGCCACATGCTACATGTTACATATCACATGTTGCATGTTACATGTTTTAACATTTGCTCTAAACTGTATCTACAGTATCCCTAAATATATGTAGGGTGCTAAATACTAGATGTAGGAAGGAAAGGTCTTCAGCTCCTGGTTTTTCAGCATGATTAATTGGAAGCTGTTATGTTGAGTTAGCACCCATTTATGCATCAGGGGATATTGGTGAAATGATGTAATGCTGTATTATAATTATATTGATGATGCTCAATATTCTTAGCTGTGCATATTCTCCTATCTGTGTTTTCTGCTTCATGACCTATTTTTTAAGTTGGTTTGTAAATAGGCAGCACTTAATCTTTTTACACAATGCATAATGGTCAGCAGTCAAGCTGCTGCAGTGGTGTCATTGTTAAGGTGCTGCACCATGAGTGCAATGTGCATTGTTTGCAATACCTTTTATGTATTTTTTATCTAGGAACTATCAATATAGTATGTTTCCATTTGCATTTTGTGATGTGCTAGCAGGCAGGATTAACACTTAAGGATTGATGGTGCAGCAAATATCTGAACTTTGTTCCAGGTTGTGGCATTCCTCCTGATTGGTGTGGCAACATATGGGAAGACCGCCAGCATCATCACCAGCCTGAGCGTAGTGGGATGGATCGTGGCCTGCGGTGTTCTGCTCTTGTTCATTGCTGTGCTGGGCCTGGTGGGTGCTGTTAAGCACCACCAGGTGCTGCTGTTTTTCTACATGCTGGTGCTGTTCCTGCTTTTCCTGATCCAGTTCAGCGTGGCCTGTGCCTGCCTGGCAATCACCCCTGGACAACAGGAAACAGTGCTGCAGGAGAGCTGGGCTAGGTCCAGTGACAACATCAAGACCAGTGCCCAGTATACATTCCACTGCTGTGGATTCAAGGACAAGAACAACACAGCCCTGGAGAAAAAATTCCAGCATCCACCCTGCCCAAGGGTAGGTTAGCTGTAGTGTTCCTGGTTTTGATGTTAAAATAGAACACAAGATTTTTGAAGAATGAGTATGCAATCCTTGTTAAGCAATTTGTGTGATGTTAAGTCAAGCTAGTTGAGCCTTTTAAGCTAGTGAGGCTTCAGCTCCATGCCATGTGTATGTTTTGGACAGTCAGTAGTCTTGTTGCCAAATTATGACTACTGGCTCTACATTTCACTGTCCATGGTAGTGTCTATGAGATTAAAAGCCAAAATAGCTTTGCTGCATGACCTACAGCAGTTCATGTGCCCCCCTCCCCCCAAAAAACTTTCCTGATCACCAGATCCTGGAATTATGGTCAGTCTGTCGTACTGAGGAAAAAGAGTGTGTGCATTTTAGCACCTTTTTAGGAGGGAGTTTGTTCAGTTTTCTGCTATGGCACACTATTGGTTAGCAGTACAGACTTAAGACCGGCAGTGCTGAAATCCGGCAACCAGTGAGGTGCGAGGAGGCCTTCGGCAAGGCCAAAGCCGGTTAGCAGCTGAGTAGTAGCGGTGGGCCGAGGCTGGACGACGGCGCATTGTTCGGAAGGGCGAAGGACGCTGAGTTCAGGTGGGTGCCTGAAGCAGTGCGTTCTTTGCGCGAGTGCGGATGTTCGTTTTTTACGTATTGAATCGGCGGAGGAAAAAGAGCTTGCGTTTTTTTCGCCGCGGCTCGCGGCGCTTTCGCTTCTTCTACGCTGCAGATTGAACTTCTTCCACACATGCGCGTACTTTTGAAACAGAACATGCAAAATGGGGGGCGACTAGGGCGTATTACGACAATTATATTTTAAGAAATAGCGGGAGTCTGTACTGCGAATCTGACAGTGCAAAAACCCCGTAGTGGCAAAAATTTCCTTTTTGCTTGATTTCCATTGCATGGCAACAGTAATGTAATGTAATGTAATGTAATGCAATGTGGTGAAAAGGTGCTCAACCCGGCGGGGCTTGGGGACTACGAAGCCCGATGAGTTTCCCTTGGCTGCGCCACTGGCCTGGGCTGAGCCCTAGCATCCTTTCCAGCAATGCTGCCCTCACTCGAGCGCTGAGACCTGCTGCATGGGCTCGGAGGACTGCGGCGGCTGCTCCACCTGCTTCGATCAGCTGAAGGACGCCATCAACTCGGGTCTGCGCGTCAGCGGCGGCATCGGCTTGTTCTTCAGCTTCACCGAGGTGAGAACGCTGGCGACTGGCCTCCAGCGCCCCGCTTCCGAGCACGCTGTCCCGACAGCGTCTGCGCCACGGCTTTGCGCGTCACGTGCTCCTCTTCTGTCTGTGTCCGCGTCCAGATCCGACTTCTCAGCAGTCTCCTATGATGTGCAGTTTGCCTTGCCTGGCGCACAGTGGACACTCATGTCATCTGTGCGTGGCTGGGTTCAGCGAAACTGGTCTGGGAGTCGTAAACAAAACAAAACAAAAAACGCTTGGAATTGGTCGACACTCTGGGGAATCACGATCGCTTGTCAGCGCAGGTCGAATCACGGCTCCATGGTGTCACTATGTCAGCAGAATGTTTCCCAACTAACAAAATTACATTTGTTCAGGCTTGTTAACGTGACATTATATTCCAGAATCAGGGGCAGTTTGTTCGGATGTGTACTCTTGGAACCGCACCATGTGGTGAAACCCAGCCGGGCGCTCATCCATGCCACATAATGACTTTGTTTAATGTGCATTTTAGATGGTAGGGTCGGCCTCCAGTCTGCCGTCAAATACCATTTAAGAAGCAGTATAACTATTTTGCTTTAAATACAGAGGGATTGAGTGCTGCCAATAAACTCCCTCCCGCAGTTGCAAATGACCAAGGTAGTTGACGCGCCATAAGACCACACGCACGCACGCACGCACGCACGCACACTTACGCACGCACACACGCACACGTACACACACAATATATATATATATATATATATATATATATATATATATATATATAAATGCAAGAATACCATTCAAACCACACAAATGCTTTCAGTTAATATTATCTTTACATCCAGCTGCCTGGTGTCTAGCCGCGCGCGTATTTGGTGTACAGATGTGGCCTGCTTCATTCGTGCCTAAATGCACAGATATACAAGCGAAGCAGTATCTCCTAGTTCGCGCGGGTTTTCACCGGCGTCTAACGTAGCTTACTGCTTGGTATCAGGGATATCCTCTCCCGTCGTTGTGCCGGTATAGTGTCCTCAGTGTCCTTGTCCCTATGTCTTTGACCTCTGCACTGACTCTCACTCCGGTTGCAGCCAATCCGGGGTCGTGTCGCATGTCTCTGACGTCATCACGCACTTACGCTGTGTGTTTGCGTTTGGCAGTCGGCCTAACCATGCACATCGGCCCTACTAACCCGTGCCCCGACCACTCTGGGTTTGCAGTTTTTCGGCGTGTGGCTGACGGTCCGCTACCGTAACCAAAAAGATCCGCGCGGCAACCCTAATGCGTTCCTATAGGTCGTCCGCCTGGCCGGCCGCAGGTACGGCCGTCTGTGCTGACCTGGCGTGTCTCCTGTGTCCTGTGCAGACGGCTAGAGGATGCAGAAATCCGCCAGACAGCGTGCTGAGAGCGGGCGAGAGAGAGAGAGCGAGAGAGCGGGAGAGAGAGCGAGAGAGCGGGAGAGAGAGCGAGAGAGCGGGAGAAAGAGCGAGAGAGCGGAGAAAGAGCGAGAGAGCGAGGAGAGCGAGAGAGCGGGAGAGAGAGCGAGAGAGCGGGAGAGAGAGCGGGAGAGAGGGCGAGAGAGCGGGAGAGAGATCGAGAGAGCGGGAGAGAGCGAGAGAGCGGAGACGAGAGGTGCGAGAGAGAGCGAGAGAGCGGAGAGAGAGAGAGCGAGGAGAGGGGAGAGCGAGAGAGAGGAGAGAGCGAGAGAGAGGAGAGAGTCGAGAGAGAGGGAGAGAGCGAGATAGGCGAGAGAGAGAGAGAGGGAGAGAGCGAGAGAGAGGGAGAGAGCGAGAGAGAGGGAGAGAGCGAGAGAGAGGGAGAGAGCGAGAGAGAGGGAGAGAGCGAGAGAGAGGGAGAGAGCGAGAGAGAGGGAGAGAGCGGAGAGAGGAGAGAGCGAGAGAGAGGGAGAGAGCGAGAGCGAGAGAGCGAGGAAGAGCGAGAGAGGGAGAGAGCGAGAGGGAGAGAGAGGGAGAGAGCGAGAGAGGGAGAGAGCGAGAGAGGGGAGAGCGAGAGAGAGAGAGAGCGGAGAGAGGAGAGAGCGAGAGAGCGAGAGAGCGAGAGAGCGAGAGAGCGAGAGAGCGAGAGAGCGAGAGAGCGAGAGAGCGAGAGAGCGAGAGAGCGAGAGAGCGAGAGAGCGAGAGAGCGAGAGAGAGAGAGAGAGAGAGAGAGAGAGAGAGAGAGAGAGAGAGAGAGAGAGAGAGAGAGAGAGAGAGAGAGAGAGAGAGAGCATGGCTTTTGTGGTGGTTTGCTTATCGCCAACGCTAGCTGGCATTGCTTGCGGCCGTACGCTTGGCCTGGTCGGTGCTTTGGCTTAGTGGGAGTCAGCTTGGCCGACTTGTTGGGCCAAAAGTAGGTCTTACAGATCTTCTGCGGTGTTTGGAGGTGCCGTTCTGCTTGGCTTGCTGGCATTCGGTGCTAGATACGTTTTGGGTCGCATGCTATACTGTTCTGTCCAGTGGTGTATTTTGCTAGGATTGCAGTCTGCGTTGGGTTGTGTAACACTCTTCTGGTTTATAGAACGCTGGGGAGTTACGACCATTTAATTAACATACTGATATCCCTTAAGACCATTTGGGATGTAACGGAAGCTAGCGAGACGGTGTAGATTGAACATGGACTGTTCCCGTATGTGGTGCGGCAACGCGGCGCGGCGGCATCGGCTGGCTCGGTGTCCATGAACCAGCACACACGGGTCTGCATACTTGAGGGTGTTGAGCGCAGTCAATAGCATTGCGAAATACGCAAGCATGAGGTCTTGACCTGCGCAGTGGTTGCGTTATCGGGTCGTGGTCGCGCCCCTGTGCCGCCTCCGGTCTGTGCGCGCCACTCCCCAGCACCGACCGCTCACGGTGTCGCTGCACGCCGGTCAGCGCCGCGCGCCGGCCGGTGGGGTCGCTGGTCGCGCGGCTCGCACCGGCCCGCCGGCACCACGGCACCGCGCCCCGTGACGCTGCCGCCGCCGGCCCACCGACCCGAGCCTATCGCTGTTTGCGCCCGCCGGTCCGCGCCGTAAAGATTATGGTCGGCCGGCGGAGCGGGGCGCGCCGCTTTGTGGCGGCGGGCGCGAATCGATCGAGTGCGCGCCGAGTCCAGCGGGGGCGTCGGCGCCCGGCCGCTGCTGCGTCGTTATCGGGCCCGATAGCAGCCCAGCACCCCGCGCGGCGTGCCGGGCCGGCGCAGCGGCAGACACTGACGGCAGCGGGCCACCTTTCAGATCATCGGCTTCGTGCTGGCCTACCGCTACCGGAACCAGATGGACCCCAGCCGCGGCCAGACGCTGGAGTAGCGGCGGACGGCAGCCGGCGCGGCGCGGCGCGCGCAGTCGGACGCCGCGGCGGGCGGCACTCGGCGCACCTGTGGCGCGGCCGACCCCGCCCCTACTCTGTAGCCCGCTCCCCTCAACGCATCCACAGCCACAGACATACGTCACGCATACCTCGATATACCGGACAGCGCTCTGCGGGCCGCGGTGCGCCGGTCGCCCCCCCCCCTCCCACGCCCACCCACACACTCACACACTCAACTCAGGGGGCGGCGACCGGGAGCGTGATCTCCGCTGGTCCGGCGCGGGCAGCTCCAGCCGACCGGCGGCAGCAATACCGGAGCCACCACCGCCGCAGCCCACCGCGCCGCGACCAGCCGGACGCCGTTAGCCGGCTGCATACCGAAGTAGATTAGTGTGGGGCATGCGTGCGTCTCGTTCGTTGCGTTCATGGGACTCACGGGCGGCTGCTATGTACAAGCCGATCAGCTCGACTTAATGTTGTTCGTTGTGATAGGGGAAGTGTTTTGTTTCCGGCCACGCCGGTTGCTTTGGGGTGTGTTGGGTTCGGGCTCGGTGGGGCTGGTTCATCGTGCCAGGCGTACGGTCTTAGGCTAAGCGCAATCGTGCTGTTTTGTCCGGCTTGTTGCAGGCACATCATATATTTATTTAGAGTTAATAAATGTACCCATCGTGACCACGGTGTCTGACTATTTGCCGTGCCGCGCCGCAGCCATGTGACCAGCAATGCTTCATCATCACAGCTTTCCTGTAGCCGCCGGAAGAGTGCGATCCGGTGTGCGGTAGGAGATCTTGGCTTCCGGCGCTAGTCCCCCTGCAGTGTGTTTGTCTTAGCCTTAGCTATCACGCGGGCTCGTTCGTTTCCTGGACGTCGTGACTGGGCTCTTGCCGCAAACACAGAGCGAGGAGGGGGAACGGCGACAGGTGGTTGGGGTCACAGGCCGCCACAGGGTGCGGGAACCCGGTACTGCCACACCCCATACCGACGTCAGACAGCACACAGACCGCCAGACAGCGCGACGGTTTGGGGCCGCCAGACAGTGTGACAGTCACGGACCACCCAAACAGCAAGACATTCATGGTCCGCCAGACAGCGCGACGCAGTCGCGGACCGCCAGACAATGCGACGCATTCATGGACCGCCAGACAGTACGACGCAGGCATGGACCGCCAGACAGTACGACGACAGTCACGGACCGCCAAGCAGCTCGACAGTCACGGACGGCCAGGTAGCACGACACAGTCACGGACCGCCAGAAAGCGCAAGTCACGGACCGTCCAGACAGTGCGACAACCATGGACCGGTAGACAGCGGCAACATACCAACCCGATTTCCGTCATTGTATGGCAACGACCGATACAAATCCAACGAGCATGGCAAAACCCCGAAGAATGTCTGCTCCAGCAGTTAACAGATCCCACGGCCGTTAGTGCAATGCATTCAGTGCCATGAGGCCGCGCACCACGCTGCCCTGCACGGCCGGCTCGGCTGACCCCACGTCAGACTCGTCGCCTGATCCGCAGTCAAACCATATCAACCGACCAGTCCCAACCACAGCTGAGGATCAGCCACATCAACGTACAACCACCGACGAGGAGGCCGGACGAGATTAACTTGCTGCTGAGCGAACATAGGTTGGACGGTGGATGTCGGAGACATGGCTCACGCCCGACATTGCCACTAGCTCTGTCATTCCTCGGGAAGTACTCAGGAAGAAAAAGCCGCGCTAAGCGTTTCGTTGGCGGAGCACTCTGGACCGGGTGGAAATACGAAGAGAGCGACCGAACCTGCAAGAAAAGGGGCCGATGGGGATGGGATGGCTCGCGCACACGCGGCGTGGTCCCTTACCGGCGTCAGGAGGCGTAGTGTACCGCCCACCCGGCAGCCCGCAGGGCGCGAGGCTGAACAAACTGCGGGATGGTGTACTGAGCTCCTACAGACGGTCTTCCGAGGCCATCAGCATCAACATCTTCAACGAAAATCCCGGGTGTCCAGCACTGCCTCAGTTTGACCTGCGACCTGATCATTGATCATTGATCGGCGGTCTGCACGTGCCGCGGCTGGTGGATAAGCCCATCGACCTTCTTTCTTCAGCCGGGGCACCTGACCCACGCGATCCGTGATCGAATCGACCCGCCAACAACAGTCATTGTCCTCCCTATACCCTCGGTGGCCATTAACCCAGGACCGCCACTGTTGGGCTGAGCAGAGCGAGACAGACAGCCTCTATTCGCCCCTCACTGAGGGGGGGGGGGGGCTGCAGGACACCAATGGTGTAATTGTGATGGTAACGACATTGGTGAAAACACGGATCGTTATGGACGGCCACTCTCCGTCAACAGCAGTTCGCGTCCAGTTCAGTTCAGTTCACAACAGAGCCGGCCCAGCTGTCCCGGTGGCACAATAATCCCCGCGGTCTCCGTAGGCCAAGCGGGGCGCAGCGAGGGGCACTGGCTGGCTCGGCACGACCCAATATCACACCGCTTCGAAACAGCGGTCAGTGCGACATCCTAGCTGCTAGACGCGATTGCCGCTCTGGCGTTTCCTCTTTCACACGATTCGCCAGGTCAGCAGACCGAGGAGACCAGACCAAGATCCGGACCTGGCCGGCGGGCTCCGTCGTCTCTGTGCGACGGTCGGGCCCGGATTGCCGCCACGCAGTGAGGGAACACCGATCAGTCACCCGACCGCCGACAGTCCGCACGAACTCCTCCACTTTCAGGACTGCCACCCTCCGAGCCCACACGGCGGAGGCACAGACCGTCGAACGGCACGACAGTCGCAGAACACCACGCCGTGCGGTGGCGTCGCTACACACCCTCCCGCCTCCGCGGCGCCGTCCCCGTCCCGCCGGGGGCTGGCCGCGGGCGGGCGGCGGCGCGAGCACGCTGGGTCGATGTGCCGGTCGGAAGAGAGAACGCAGTCCGCGGTAATGCTGGCGGCCCGACCTCGGGCGTCACGTGCGCGACCGCAACGCAGACCAGACGCCGGCGGCGGCAGCTGCCGGGCTCGTGCCACTCACCAGCGAAAGCAAACACCGGGATGCGAAAATGGGGCTTTATTCCCCCACGTGTCACAGCCATGCTACAATGCATACAAAATCACAGCCCGCTATCACAACACAGATCCCGTTCATCGGCAAGGGCGCATTCGGGCGGGCCGTCCCAGCGCCATCATACAGCGATGGCACCGTCGTGTAGACCAAAAGCTCAGTGTAAAGATAATCGTACCCCACATTGTACAACAATCGCAAAACCCATTAAACATGTGTCACAAGCGCTCTGGAACAGCGTCCATAACCCCAGCATCTCTGGACTGCGGTGACGTATGGCCGGCTCCTACTGACGTTCGGCATGTGAACCCCAAGGCGCTTTTTGCCAGAAGTCAACCGGTTGACCTGCAAAAATAACACTTTATGTCAGGCATCACCAAGCAGCCCAATTTCTGCTGGGTTTACAAAACGTCGTTGTCGTTACTTTGCGCGGACAAAAGGCCACTACTCCCAAAAAACACGGTGATGACGGCAGTTACACGTTTAAAATGCGGGACGAGACAAAGCGACCGAGAGAGCAAGATCCTCCGACGCAACACTACACTTCTGTCACAACGCCAGCAGCGAGTGTGTCACAGGCCCCAGGGATGTCTGGGGCCGCAGCTGAGACGGCCGGGCCGTCGCAAGCCTCCTATGGGGCTGTGCCGCTGTCCTGTCCCCCATCTGACCATCGAATCTGGCCAGGGAGGGTTCCGGCGGGAGGCGGGCGGTGGCCGCGGGGGTGAGGTCCTACCTGGGCCACCGGCGCGGTGAGCTGCAGCCGGACCCGGGCGCCGTCCGTCCTGGGCCACTCCGGCTGACCGGCGGCCGCCTGGGGTCACGGGTCACGTGTCAGCGGGTCAGCGAGTCACGGCAGGCGTCACGCCAGTCACGCAGGACAGATTCCCGTCACCACCCCCTCCGCATGCCGATACATGGACGTACATCAGACCTAGTCAGCACGTTATCGTAAATCAAGACGGAACGGCGCTGTTGGTGGCGAACGCATCCAGTAAAGGCAGCTGGGCATTGCTTTTCGGTGGCTGCTGGATATCAGATCGTATCTGCGCCAATATTACCTACGTAGAAGCTTTGCGTGGTGAAGACAGACCGTAAGACCCTGCTCTTTTGTTTTTTTCAACGCAACTGACGACACTTTTCAGTGGCAGCGACAATCCATGACCTTTAGTACACTGGGAAAGAGGTATCACTATCATCAATGAAGAGGGGGCCATGCTGACATGGTCCGCCATGACACACTACATGTTCCTTGACAGCAGCGCTCCCCGCAGCCGCCGCGAGCGCGTCGCTTCAATGGTCTGACGTTTAACGTTGCATTGCAAATCATTTCAATACAATCCTATATTCGTTGTCTGTTCAGCAATGCCTTCCGATATGTTGATAGCTGTGCGGTGATGCTTCTGTCACTTAGAGGTGTCATTGTTCTTATCAATAATGCCGATCGAAGCGTAGGTTAAGTGTGAGCCACCCACTGGCCCATTCCCGCAAGAACACGCTGTCAGTTGCTCTGGTGGGTTCTCATCCCTCCCGACCGTTGGCTGGCCATATCACTCACGGGCAGCACGTACCTTTGGTGACGATGCGTTGCAGCGACAGCGATTCCAGCGAGACCACTTCAAATGGACAATGCAGCACCTAGCTAGGAAGCAGAGCGCGAGTGAAACTGGGCTACAGGAGAGACAAAACGCCTTGAACGGTGACGACGGCTGCGGAGATATAGGTCTGCAAAACAGCGCACATACCAGTCGTACACTACCAAGAAGCCCGGTAGCCCCTGTGCGAGCATCAAAAAGGCGGACATCACGGCCAGTGACTGGAACACACCTGATACGCCACAGCATCAGCGGCAGCGCTGCCTACACGGCCGCAAGTGACTGCTATTGGTGCGGTGCTCGAGCCCGGTGCAGGATCCACCCGTTTTGCGTACAAGCGGAGCAGACGGAAGCTCAACCGGCGCCTGACCGCTAGCGGCACATCGCGGTCACGTCGGAGCTCGCCTGCCCCGCCAGAGAATGCGGTGCGGCGATCTACGTCAGCTATGGCCGACTAGCATTCACAGATCGGCGACTAGAATTGTTACCGATGCGAAGGCGTGGTATACAAGAACTCTAAAGAATGTAAAAAGGATGGATTGAGCGGAAGAGTAATGACAAGCATCTGCGTTGCCACCGAAGCTGTATCGGGAGCAGCTTGATCAAAAACAACTCTAGACGAGCGGTCTCAAACACTAACAGCGCAGCACCACGGCAGTGGCACGACCTCCGCGCAGAGGAGGCTCCACCCACCTCGCACGAGACGGCGTGGAGATCGACCAGTAAAACAGCCGTTCCTATTTAGTCTGCACAACAAACCCCTTCGTGGAAAATCTCTACCGCGAACATTTGGCAGCGCGTAACTGACATATTGGTTCTTGAATGTAGCACTTTGTGCACATTCATCAGAGCACTTTTTCATGGTGAAATTGATTTTTACTGGCAACGGACATGCACCAGCCCAATGGCCAAAAAGGCTGAAAGGCAGAAAATATGTCATTGATCTTGATATCTGCTGTACAATTGAAGTGAATTCCAGTGACGAAGTATCTGTCAAATATTTTGCTTGGCAGTCGTCAGTGACAGCACCAAATAGCAATTTAATTGCGGCACCTAGGTAGAGCAGGCTCGACTTTCGAAGAGATAGCCAACTTCCTAGGGCACTTACGAATGAAAGCTTGGTTTACCAAAAGATGACCAGTTTATCCGTTTACTTAAGTAAGGAAAGAAAACAAATTGAAGCTATGAATGGCTGTCGAAAACCCACATACCACAGCAATAATCTGCAAAAATCTGACCCAGTCGAATACTCATGGGAGTAATGCAGTACCACAGGAGCATAGTCCGGCAGGCCGATTCCATAGGGATTTGCGTTATAGATAACGTGAACGCGCACTAGCTGAGATCATTCGTATAGCAACAGGTCTTGTGGTTTCAAGTAGGAGCATGGAAAACACGGCGAAACAGGACGAGCTGGGATATTTCGAAAAGCCACAAACCGGTCAGAGACGGCGGTCAGATGGTAGAGGTGTGAATAGCCACGTACCACAAAGACATTTTACGTTGCGATCACTTGTCTCCCGAAAACTGATTGCAGACCGAGCGCGGGAACTGTGCAGCGTCGGCAGCTGTAGGACGGAGAGAGTTAAAGCGCATCACATAACCACTCGGAACAGAGCTGCTGGAGGTGAAGTCCACGCACCGTCATCGGTCTGGCGGACAGAGGGAGGCGTGCCGCCCTGAGGTCAGGCCAGTGCCTGAGCACTGGAAGCTCAGGTGTTCACGCCGACGCGCGCCCGACGCAGTCGCCGCTCCACCGTGGACACGCGACGGCAGCCTGTGGACGGACACGCACGGTCGGCGGCGGACACCGGGAACCCTGGCGCGCTTACCGCTCCACGCGCTGAGACGAGGCACCGCCCTGCGCTGGGCCAGCCGCGCCGAGTGCAGACGGCCGGGCGGACGGCAACAGGCGCAGCCCCCTTCGCCAGCCGGGCCGTCCGCTTCAGCAGGTGCTGAGTGTGGACCAAGCACGCTCCCTTCGTTCGGTTGAACTCGGAGGATGCGCGGCATCGCACGCCTCGACGACCAGGCCGCTCCATTCAAATGCAGACTAGGACACGCATCCTAAACGTCCAGCTCTGGTCGGAACCGCGAGGGCAATACAAGACGTGGCATAGGGGAGCAAAGCCGGAATGTTACTAGACGCAGGCAAATGTTGCCCGATACGACAGCAGACGGTCTCATTTGAACACAAACAGTTCAAGAGAAGCAAGACTACACATTCCAGACAGTTAGCAAGTACTGGATAACGATGCGGGAGTTTCTTCATACGATCAGCCATCCCAGCACGTGGCAGCTGCCTTAGGCACACGCACTCTGCTGACTAAAGCAATGATCGTCGTCTGGCATCGCGAATCTAGCCGTCCAACATCCCACGGCGACCTCCCAGGTAACATCAGGGACCATGAGGACGATCACCAGCCTTGTCCAGTCAACTTCAACATAACGCACCATGTAGATGATGAGATGTATATTTCCCAGAAAGGTGACGGACCACACGAAGACAGCAACTGTGCGCGGAAACTACTTCCAGTGAATCTGCACATCCAGTTACGACACCAGTCGCTACGCCACACAAGCTCGAAGGGCGGTACAGCGCTGGAGGTGAAGAGGACGCCGTCAGAGCTTCCTGGACGGCAATGCCCGACTCCGCAGCAACTGCCATCCGGCCAGTACCCAAAAGCGAAACATCTTCATGTCGGAGCCGCGCCTCCCGCTAGGGCTCCAGACGGACCGGCGCAGAGCGAAGACAGAGCTTCAAACGGCGACGTACGGACTCGGAGCGGCGAACGGGGCAGAGCCCGAGCCTCGGCCGACGTCACCGCCGGGGGAAGGGAGCGAGGAAGCAGCCGGCCGGCCTGACCCCGCTCGGCCGGGCGCCGGCGCCGCTCAGTACGAGCGCACGTCCAGCATGCGGCCGTCGCAGCGGGCGCCGTCCATCAGGTTGATGGCGCGCTGCGCCTCGTGAGGGCTCGAGAAGCGCACCACGCCCACGCCCTTACCCTTCATGTCGGCGAAGCGCACCTCGCCGATGTCGCGGAATTTGTCGCGCAGCGCCTGCCAGCTGTAGGCCGGGTCCAGCTGGGGGACGGCGGCTACGCGTCAGACGGCGGCGCCGGGCGGGCGACATGGGCAGCACGGGGGCGGGCGAGGCCGCTGGGTCCGAGGGCGGCCGTTCGCTCCGTACCCTCCCTTGACATTAGGCCTGTTCGTGGCAGGCGGAAGTGCCGCGCTCCATATCGCTGGGACTCATGCAGATTTGATCGTCATGCGATGTTAACACGTGCGGAGACCGCATTCGCTAACACTAGAGACGACAGCACGTCAAATCGTACCTGGACTGTGACAATATACGCTCGACTTTCAGGTTTAAAGCTGGCTAGCTCAGCCAGAGACCGGGCTAGCACGTAGTGGTAGCCCGGTCCATTATCTCGTCATTGTTTGGACTGACTTACGTTGCTGACGATGATGGAGTCCGAGTAGTTTCTGGACGACGAATTGTAGCCGCTGTCCGGGCCCGAGTTCATGGAAGAGCCATAGCCACTATTGTAAGAGCTGCGGCCGGCCCTAGCCGAATCCAGGCCGCCTCTGGCGCCGAGACCGGCGTCCATCCCTCCGCGGCCGCCCAAACCTTGATCCATGCCGCTGCGGCCGCCCATGCCCGACTCCATGCCTCCGCGGCCGCCGAGGCCGTGATCCATGCTCCCTCGGCCGGCATCCATGCCTCCACGGCTGCCCAGGCCGTGGTCCAGCAAGCCGCCGCGGCCGCCCATGCCGTGGTCCAGCAGACCGGAGCGCGCGCCCAGGCCCTGGTCCAGCCCGGCGCGGCCGCCCAGGCCGGGCTCCAGACCGCCGCGGCCCGCCAGCCCCTGGTCCAGGCCCTGGCGCCCGCCCAACCGCATGTCGGCCGGTCCGGCCAGGCCCTCGCCGCCGCGCAGGGCCGCGCCCTGCAGGCCGGCCAGGCCGCCGTAGCCGCCGCCACCGCTGCCGCCGGCGCCGGCGCCGCCCAGTCCGCCGAGCTGAGCGGCCTGCAGCTGTCCAAGCCCGGCCACGCCGCCAAGCGCCGACAGGCCGCCCAGGCCGGCCACGGCACCGGCGCCGGCCAGCTCGGAGAGGCCGCCGCCGAAGGCCGGCGCCGGCGCGGCGCCCATCAGACCGAGCGCGGCCGCGTTGTTGGCAGCCAGCCCTCCTAGGCCGCCAAGCTGCGCCGCCGCCGCCACGGCCGGCGCCGGCGTCTCTGCAACGGGCGGCCAGCGGTCAGCGGCGGGAGCCGACACGGCCTCCCCCAGCACTGGCACGCCTCGGGGGACTCGCTCACCGGCACGCCTCGGGGGACTCGCTCACCGGTACACCGCGAAGGACTCGCTCACCGGCACACCTCGAAGGACGCGCTCACTGGCACGCCTCGAAGGACCCGCTCACTGGCACACCTCGAAGGACGCACTCACTGGCACACCTCGGACTCGCTCACTGGCACACCTCGGACTCGCTCACTGACACACCTCGGACTAGCTCACTGACACGCCTCGAAGGACGCGCTCACCGGTACACCGCGAAGGACTCGCACACTGGCACACCTCAAAGGACTCGCTCACCGGCACGCCTCGAAGGACCCGCTCACCGGCACACATCGAAGGACGCACTCACTGGCACATCTCGGACTCGCTCACTGAAACGCCTCGAAAAACTCGCACACCGGCGGGGCGGGTCGGCAGTACCAGCGGGCTAACAGTGTCGTGACGGGGACGGAGGGAAGGCCGCCGCCTGTGAAACGACAACACACGGACCGCAGGTCGCTGACAGTGCATGCTACAGGTGTCAGTGGCACTGCCACCGGTACCAGGCGTCAGTGATACTGTCACCGGTGTCAGGCGTCAGTGACACTGTCACAGGCGGGTGCCAGTGCGGCGCCACGTACCCTGTATCTTGGAGGCCACGTCGGCGAGCGCCACGCCGTTGTTGCCCAGGCCCTGGCCGATGCTCTTGAGGCCAGCCGGCAGCGACATCTTGGGGTCGCGGTCGCGCCGCTCGGCCACGCGGTCCATGCGCACGCTGCGAGCGCGGCCGAGGTCAGGCGCGTGCGCTCGACAGGCCCAAGGGTGGCAGCGTCTAACTGCTGTCGCGGGCCAACACATTCCACTACCGCATTCTGTCAAATCCTATCAGACTGTATGACGCAGCCACACCAGCGGCGTCGTGCGCCAGCATTTCGAAATCAAGGAGAGGCGAACAACGGGCATTGTGGTATCCTGTAGATGAGACAAGGAAAAACTCCTCACTTGTCCTGTGACCTTTCAGTCACCTTGAGGCGAGCAGCCTTTGGCCGGCATTCCAGAGACTGGCCACGAACGGCGACAATGACCGTGCCCGCCTGTCGCTGCATCGTGCATGCACGTCAATCGCTGCATCACGTGACATGGACGAGCCCAGAAGTCTGCGGGGGAGAGGTTCGCACCTGATGCGTCTCTCCAGGTAGGTCTGGTTGTTCAGCATGGAGATGGCCTGCACGGCCTCCACCGGGTGGTCGAACTCCACCACGCCGTGGCCCTTGCTGTTGCCCTCGTGATCCTTGTTGATCGACACCGAGACGACCTTGCCAGCCAGGCTGAACACCTCCTTCAGCTTCTGCTCGTCCACGCTGTAGTCCAGCTGCCCAACAGATCAGACAGTGATGCTCCTGCCTGGCTGCATTATCGCCGCCGCCGCCGGCGCACGTCGACCTTTTTGGAGCAGTACGGTACCAAGCTTCACGGACCGCCTAGCCATCTATGGAGGCGCGTTTTGACGCAATGGCCAGCACCACATGGAGGAATATTCCAATGCGAACTGGCGACAATATGGTGTAAATGCCCGCAAAAGCACACCGTGTGCGTCTGCCAGTGCACATATCCTGATTCTGTTCCTAAATAAGCCCATCTGTTCTTCCATCAGTGACAAACGGACAGCACAAGGCGTCAATACAGTTTCACCCAACACCGCGGTCACGGCGGCCGGTCTGGCCAGGTCGCCAGAATCCTGCCCCTAGCGTGTACGCACGTTGGCCACGAAGACGCGGTTGACGAGCGGGCCGTCGATGCCGAGGCTCTCCAGGAAGCTGACGTTGAGGCCGTACGTGTTGGTGTACTTGGCCTCCGGCGGCCCGGGCGGCCCGGGTGCGCCCAGCCGCGGCCGCTCATCGCGCTCGCCGCCGCGGAAGCCGCCGGGGCCGGGTCGGCGCGCGTCCATGCCGCGCTCGCGGCCCGGCGGCCCTTCTGGCCGGCTGTCGCCGCGCAGGATCCGGCCGTACCGGTCCCGCTCCACGCCGAAGTCCTGCCGGGCCGGCGCCGCGCCGTGAGACGAGGCGGCACCGGTGCCAAGGCGGGGGCACGGGGCAGAGCCTACCGCGGGCCTCAGCCGCAGGCGGCGCAGCGGCAGGCGGCGACCGTCGCCGTGAGGCGGCGGCCCTGAAGCCACGGGAGGGACGCAGCAGACAGGACGGGCGCCAGAAGCCCGATGCGGCTTCTGACACACAACTGACTCACAGTTGCGCGGCGGCACCCGTCACCCACTGGTTCTCACCTCCTTCACGACAATGTTGCGTCCCTTGAGCTCGTAGCGATGCATGATTTCCAAGGCCTTGTCGACCAGCTCGGGCGAGTCAAACTCGATGATGCCGCAGCCGCGCGACTGGCCCTTCTCGTCGTGGAACACCTCCACAAATGATACGTCGCCCACTGAAACAAGGTCGAAAGTGAACGTATGTTTTCACGCTCGAACAAACCCAGTATTCATGACACCAGCATCATTCCCGTATTCGGCATTAGGGGAGCCGCGCTTCCCAACTGATGCTCATGGTCGCCTTTCTGCCGTAATGCTACAGGCGCTAAGTAAACGGTCACAGCATCTGGGTTCCCAAACCAACGTCTCTTGTTGTCAGTAGTCATGCGTGCATCGCCTGAGCCACGAATGGACAGTGGCCTATTTTCATTTGCATCCAATGGTCTGGAAGCTGGAGTAATCAACGAATAATCGCCGTCCAATTTCTCTTCAAATTCAAGTCCCGTAGCGAAAAAAAACGTAGTCGAATCTTCACCAAATGCAACCACGCCATCGATTCCCAAAATGATGCATTTTATTATACACAACTGAGATACACAAGTGAGGGCGCAGGTGGACCGGATTTTAACGTCAACTAGCTGGAGATTGGCAGGCTCCAGCAGCCGGGATGGTCCGGCCGAGTACGCTTTTGACGAGCTCACATTCTGGCGACCACTGATCCTGCCACCGAAAAGTCTTCATCAAAACTAAGCATGCTGTGTGCATAAAGCATGCTGTGTGCATATAAATGTGTGCTGTAATACTGTCGAAGTACTCAAACTCAGCCTACCTAGGCAGGCCACAGGCCTATGACACGTTGCAAGATCACCGGCGTTATTCCTCCTCATTCCAGCCGGACTGGCGAGAGTGGGAGTCAACGTGCGCACGATATCACGCGCGGTCGTGCGCAAGCCATGTTTTTTTTTGCACCTCATCTATGCACCCGCTTTCCGGCGTTTTTACGGGTAGATGCCAGATCCCGGCAGTCCGAACAAGAGGAGACGTGAATCCAGCTGCACGGTGGCGGGAGAACGTGCCGTCTACAAATCCAGCTGTACGGTGCGGGAGGACGTGCCGTCTACAAATCCAGCTGTACGGTGCGGGAGAACGTGCCGTCTACAAAGCGTTCAACGATCTGAACGCTGTCCACCTGTTCATTCGTGCTCTTGGAACAGGTCGGGAAGCAGCTCATGCCCCCGTTTACGAAAGCCGCACGATATACGACACGCCGTGGCACAAACTAAGACAGATTGGACCCACGCAAACTGAAAACACGCACATCTCAGTCTTTTGTGACCAGGATCCACCCAAAATATTTGCGTTTTTCCACACATTTTGGTCAGTCATCAAACGCGTTAACTGCCTCAAATTAATCCATCTCTGTGAACCAAAACTCCCAGGCCGCGGCACGCCCAAAGCCACCCAATATTCCAGCACAGTCATCCGTAAATTTGTGCAAGGATGATAAACATCAGCACACCTCTGCCTGCTAAGCTCATGAAGACAGGACATTCCAACATACTAATAGTGGGTATTGTTATGGGCTCCAAAAGGCAGCGGATCTATCCACTTTCCTATGCATCACCTGCATGTTAAGGACAAATCACGTCCGTATCAGTTCACTCGTTCCACATCACAAAGGGCGTCTTGTTGGTAAAATGTGCATTGTCATGGATTACAGGGTGACATCATTTTCAAGAGGACTTCGACGTTGTTTTAAATTGCTGTGGTGTGCTTGAAAAGTATCTAAAAAAGCAGACTGTAAGATCTGGCCACCGATCAGCCTCCCGACACCCCCCCCCCCCCCCAGCCCAAAAAATCAACACCATGACGTGGGTTAAACAATGCGAAAATACCCCAATCTCAGTGTACAATCAGTCACATCAAACGCGACGGCATGCAGACGACGACCCAGCGCATCCACTTGTACATCAGACCCTTACCCTCCTTTCTGAAGAGGTCTTTCAGCTCTTGCCACTGGAACTCGAACGGAATGTTGGAGACGTATACGCGCCGCTCTGGTCGCTGTCGCCTGCGGGCAGGACGGCACGGAGAGTCCAGTCCGACAGCCACACCCCGGCAGGACACCGGCTCGTCCCGGCGCCTACCGCCACCGGCACGGCCGCACCAGCCGCCGGCGAGCACGACCAAAGCCGCGCAGCACTCAGAACGCCAGCTGGAGGACGCAACATGTGCTACGTACGGAGCACCGGCTGAGTATCTCGACGAAAGGCTCGTCGACCGTTTGATCGTGGCCCGTGGCGCGAGGCGCATCAGTGACCTTGTTACGGACGTGCTGCCATCCGAGCGCCGGCACCACAGAGACCAGAGGCGTCGGTCGGCAGACCCACCTGTCGCCGCCAGTCGGCCGGCCCGGCGGCGGACGGCCGTCGCGCGGCCGCCGCTCGCGTGTGTCGCGCCGGGGCCGCGTGTCGCGCGCGCGTGAGCCGTTCTGGTCGGCGCCGCCCTCCTTGCCAGCTTTGGATGGCGACCTAAGCAGGGCGGGAGGCAGGGTACCATCAAACTTAGTCCCTTTTAGAGGCAGATGTGATACAGAAATCAGAACTAACAACATGCGGTCTCATGCTTTAAAAAAGGCAGTTCACCAGGTTTTCATATGTAAAGTCAGATTATTCAGTGGTATGCTGTAAACAGACTGACATTACCAACTAGCACATTTAACTTTGATAATAACTTGCCTTCCATACACCAGGAGGCACTGATTATGCAGTATTATCAACAGGGTGCTGACTGCAATGGCAAAAGGAAAGGCTTTTTGAGCTTTTGTCAATAAAGCCAATGCTTCCTGACAACACTGATAAATATTACTTCTGCGCATATTCTAGGTCACCTAATGACAGAATAAGATATCTCAACCAACAATGACAAAAAACTGTGAGTGCAAGTCCTTCTTGCTTACATAAAGAACAGACAGACACATAGCCAAGAGCCAAAAAAAAAATACTGACAACTTTTTATGACTGGTCTGCTTAAGGTGCACCTGGCAGCTTACACAGGTGGTCATACCTGTCTCGCTCAACTTTTGGCTCCGCCTCAGCTCCCTCCATTCTTGGATCTAACTTTGATAAGATCTGAAACAACAGAATATTGGGTGAATATTAGTTTCTAAACAAAGAGCAGCCAATCAATATGGAATACAAGCTACCATATCGGATGACATACGACGAAAGGTTACAAGACTTTGTTGTGAAGCATAAGCATAGGCTAAGATAATATCAATTGGTATGCATGAGACATGATGTAATTTTTACACAAAGGCCAAGTTTTGCAAGCAATACATGACAAATTAGCTACATGTGCCTTGTTGCTCCACACACTTAAACTAGAGACATACTACTGAGCTACCAGGGTCAGGTTATACATTGCTATGTCATGTTAAAAAAGGGCAATGTACATCAATTGTCATTTTTAAGGCAGAACATATTGTAATCAATCATAAAACAAGTCATCAAGAAGCATAAAAATGCATGAGGCTAAGGTAACAAGAATCCAGTGAAATGTGTTTCTTGGGTACCCAAGCAGCCTTCCATATTGTTTGTAGATTGGTTGACATGGTGGGGAAATATGATGTTTTTGGGTGGGAATGTCAAGCAAAATGAGAATATGGTGGCTAAACAAAACTTCTTAATACAGTACATATATATGGCATGGAACATGGATGCCAATGGGGCACTGTGTTGAAGAGGATAGGGTGGGGGTTAGGTTAGGTTACATTAGGTTTGGTTTGGTGTGGTGTGGTGTGGTGTGGTGTGGTGTGGTGTGGTGTGGTGTGGTGTGGTGTGGTGTGGTGTGGGTGTGGTGTGGTGTGGTGTGGTGTGGTGTGGTGTGGTTTGGTTTGGTTTGGTTTGGTTTGGTTTGGTTTGGTTTGGTTTGGTTTGGTTTGGTTTGGTTTGGTTTGGTTTGGTTTGGTTTGGTTTGGTTTGGTTTGGTTTGGTTTGGTTTGGTTAGGCTAGGTTAGGTTAGGCTGGTTTGGGCTATGTTCTGGAATATTCTGGCCTGTGTTTCATAAATGTACCTAGACATGACAAGAAATGTTTTTCATTGCATCATTATTGTTACCTTGGTCACAAACATTTTTATGGTTCTTGATAAGCAGAAATATTGTAATTATGCAACGATAAGGCAGAAACGGTGCTAGGGAGTTGAGGCGGTGGGAAGCGTGTGGCGCTTGGGAGCTCGCTATTGTAGCTATTAAATTTTGAAGGTAGGAGCATTAATCTACCTGTTTTAAGATTATTTATATTATGTTCTAGCCTAGTCTAGCCTAGCCTAGCCTAGCCTAGCCTAGCCTAACCTAACCCCCCCACCATACCCCCTTCAACCCAGTGTCCCATTAGCATCCATGTTCCCTGCCATATATATGTGATGTATTAAGAAGTTTTGTTTAGCTGCCATATTCTCATCCTGCTTTTCATTCCCACCCAAAAACGTCATACTTCCCCACCATGTTGACCAATCTACAAACAATACAGAAGACTGATTCGATATGCAAGAAACACATTTTATTGGATTCTTGTTACCTTGGCCTTGTACATTTTTATGGTGCTTGATGTACAGCAATGCTGTGATCACGCAGTAATGTGATCACGCGTAGAAATGGCACCGGGGTCGTGGTTGCTGCGTGTTTGCGCTCGGATGTTCGCTATCGTAGTTATTTGAGTTCCACGGTAGGAGTTTAGGCGACCTGTTTTACGATTAATTACGATATGTTCTGCCTTAAAAAACGACGGTCGATGTACGGTGCTCTTTCTTAACATGAGGTAGCAATGTATACCCTAACCTACCTGCCTTATAACTCGACTACCTCTTCAGTTGTCTCCTTCTCAACAATATTCCTGCATGCAGTAACTGTATACCGCTGCAGACTTTAGGAATCTACGACCGGCCCTCTCCTTCAGCCCTATGTCGGACTATCTCGTCAATCAAATCCAACGAAACGAAAACCTGCCCCCGAGCGCCCACTCGCGAGGCTCGCGTGCGACGCCGTTGCATTGCGCGTCATCTGGCAAATATTTGGATGTTGTACGAGACCCTCGACTGTGACTGAAGACGCTCAAAACTTAATAACATCCACATGAATAAGTGCGCTCCAATTTTCACATTTTACATACTCTCTGAAACCTCTCATGATACTAAGTTCAGTGGGCCACGTCGTATTCTTTTCAAAAACAAAAGTTATATTTGGTATAACCTACTTAAAACACGCTTCAAGTGTGCAGCTTCTTGGTAGTTTCAGTAGTTTCTCAGTTGAGGCACCTAGCATAATTTGACCTAAATTAGTGCCATAAACATTACGCGTAGTAATCAAAGCAAAGCATTGCATGTTTCCGTATACCATACATATTTCACCACATGAAATTATCGGCTCTCCAGGGAGACAGAATTGAGGGCTCGTAAGTGGGAGAGGTTGGCTTGTTTTGTTTTGTTAATACATCTCATCGTTTTGGTGGTTGAACATCATGAACTGTCAAAGCGGTATGAATGCATCACCATGATAAATGCATATGATCTAATCCGCTTAATAATTTGGTTAATAAAACTACTTAAGGAAGATGTTGTTGATGCCCTACAAGGTCAGAAATTATATTAAGTTGGTACTTTTGGTTTGGTGCCTGGGATGCCGCATTTGAGACGTTTGAGACATATCTGACTCATTTCAACTCTTGCGCACCAATACCCAGATGTCATTGGAATGGTGTATGTTCTGCGCGGTGGACGTGTGGGAGGGTGGTGGATGTCAGGCTGTTTCCAGATGAACCTTAGTGCATATGTTCGAATACGCTCGTACGTGTTTGGTGCCTTTGTTGAATACCTCTAGAGTGGGCTTTATTGAGAAGTCTGCTTGGTCGCCACCATACTATTAGGAAAGGCCTGCATTTCGACATCTTCGAAGTCGTCAAGCGGTATCAAATGACGTGACAATCCGGTGAGTGGATGGAAAGTTAGGTGTTCTGAGGATGTTATGGATAACTAGTGTTGATTAAGTCATGTATGCCACATTTGCGTAATATTGTCATTACTTGTGCATGCCATGTTTGCTTAAGATTCTCAGTACTTGTTAATCTATGAGTGCAAATTGTACAATTTATTAACCAAATTTTTTGACAACTTAGAAAGTAAATAGGCCATTTTGTGCATTTAGTGCTGAAATTATGTATGCTGTAAACAGAAGACCAACATGGCATTGACAAATATGTAATTTATTTTTGAGTTCTGGGTTTTGCATACAATCCAGTACACATCTGGCTGAAGTTCCTTACCAGATTCCAGGATGTTATTATTATGTAACATTATGCGATTCTAAATGCAGCATTGGGGTCCAGGCACATGTCTGTAGTTTAGTACACAGAACATGTATGTGACTTCAGTGTATTGAACCTCTTGCTTGTGTGTGCCAAATTCAGGCCAGACCAAATTTTGTTGGATTTTCATGTTAAATCATCACAAATTATTGTTGCCAAAGATACTTTTAGAATATCATATTTTCATGAAATATAGGCTCTATATGCTATGAAATTGGTAGTGATTGTGCACCAAATTCTAAATGTTCAAATTAACATTATAGATGCACAGAGATTGCTGCTGCTATATTGCTGTTTGCACTGGACATGTTCAGCCCAACACATATTTTTTTGGAGTATGACTATCAATGGTTCACCTAAAAGTGATGGCCAGGAAGTTGAGGTGTGAGAGGACATTTTCTGGGTCAAGATATCTATAGAGACCTGTCAAAATTTGATGTGTCCTGGCTGATACATATGACATTTTCATGTTCACTAGCATTTTCCTGCTGCATCATATCACACAGCTTGTTTTATTTCATTTCATGCTGCTGTCACCATTACACAGAAAAGCATCATTTTTGGCATTCAGTGTGCATCTTTAAGTATAAATGAGTGGCTCAAATACCTTGCTATTTAGATGTGCTGTTGTTTGGATGCTGGTTTGTACTTTGCTTAGGGCATTTTTCCCTCACATGTTCTGAGATTCAATGCTCATGTCCATGACCAATATCAAACTCTTCTGTGCCATGATTTATCAGAGGTAATCTTATAAGTGCTGGATCAGTCATACACAGTTGTAGATGTTAAGTTGTAATTGGTGTAAATATGTCCCAACATTGGCCTTATGTCATCAACAGCTCACTTACAAGTCAGGAACAGTGAGAGACAATTCCAAATGGTCCAGAAGAGGTGCAAACTGTTAATTTGCCTGAAACAAGCTGCTTGTCTGAGCTTTCAGCAATAAAACAAATACTTCAATGACCTTTCCCTTGTTTGGCTCCTTAGCAGCTATTTGAATGGCCACACCCTGAAACGGGTCAACTCGCTTTCTGTTTGGTCCGTCCTGATGGCTCATTTCGTTAGAGCGCCTGCCTTCTGATCCATCCACTCGTGGTGAGATGGGTTCCAGCCGCTTTATGTGCTCGCTTTTTGGGCTTGACAGGTATGACCTGCGGCCGGTGGCAGCGGCCGCGCTTAAAGTCAAGAAACGTTAGCGAACAGGGCGAACCGTGCCGAGGATTGCAGCACTTTGGACTTTCGCCACTAAATTCTGCCGTTGGCCTGGAATTGTGCGATCGATGGTAGGGAGCCAGGGCTCAAACAAGAAGCAGTGCCTGCGTGAGCTGAGATCCTAAAAAATTCACCCATTCATTATGTTTGAATGAAATATTTGAAAAATTCTGAGTCTTGTCAATGCCGAGCACAACTCTTGCGAGATGTTATGACCGTGACAAACTGTGTATTGTTAATTAATGAGGTCTCGCTTCATTGCTCGCTCAGAATGAAACTAGGTGCATGGTGTAACAGGCAGCCTAATAATGCGCCGTGATGTCTGCCGTTCTGGTAATTATTCCTGCAGCTGATGCTCTAACGGTGTTGTTTGTGCGAGGCAGTGGTACTGAGCGACAGATGCGGTGTGTCTGTTGCAGCGATGTCCGACCGAGGGGAAGGGGATGGTCCGGTGGCCGGCCCCGCCGAGGGGGCCGCCAGGCCGTGCCGTGGCAACTGCTTCAAGCCGAGAAAGTCGGTTGAGAACAGGAACACCAGGGAGATGCACTTCAAGATGCCCAAGTACCTGACGGACGCCTTCAAGACGATGTTCAAGATGCGCGGTGACGGCTTGCTGACGGACGTGGTTCTCGAGCTGGAGAGTGAGGACGTCAAAGCGCACAAGCTTGTTCTGGCTGCAGCGAGTCCTTATTTCAAGGTGAGCTCTACCTTTTGGTTGTTTTGCGATGGAGCACTGTCTTTTTGCGAGGGATCAGCACGGCGTGCCGACAGCGTGCCGCGCGATTTCACGTGTAGGGCAGCCCACTGCGCGGCGTGCCCGAAGACAATGTGTTCCACATGACTGGCTTGGTTCCGCCCTGACGCCCGCCCGTCCTCGCGCCGGTGCGCTGCAGGCCATGTTCACCAGCGGTCTGCGAGAGAGCTCCATGAGCTCCATCAAGCTGCAGGGCGTGTGCACCTACACCTTCAGCCGCCTGCTGCTGTTCGCCTACACCGGCGAGATCACCGTCAACGAGCAGACGGTGTGCGCCCTGCTGCCAGCCGCCACCATGTTCCAGGTATGGCTGCCTGCAAGCGGCAGGTCATCGGACGCGTCGCGTGCCGGCGACGCGCTGATGATGCAACATGTGGTGTCGGTGGTCTCTCAGATCGGTGGAGCGGAATCTTGCAAGAAGCGGATTTATAACATGAGTTTGTGGCGCTGTGCTATCGTGCGTGACCCCGTCCAACTGCCGCCATGGCTGTTGTCGGTGTGTTTGTGGCGTGTCTGATATCGCGCCCGTATCACTTTTATCGGACGCAGTAAACGGCGCAGTTTTGCGTTGAATCTACCCTGACGTCAGTAGCTGGCCAGCAAAAAATCGGCATGTGGACACAGGTGTCACAAGTGTACGGAACTTCGGGCAATTCGTCACACAACATCGCTTACCCTGCAGCATTACGAAGTTCGATTTTCGTCGTTACATCTGCCACTGGCAGCAGGGCGCCGGAACATGTTCTTGCGGCCATCAGCCGTCACCTCACCACTCCAGACGCGTCTCTGTCACACCGTCTGCTGTGCCGTTCCCAGATGCAGCACGTGGTCGAGGTGTGCTGCAACTTCCTCAGGAACCAGCTGGAGCCGAGCAACGCTATCGGCATCGCCACCTTCGCCGAGCAGCACGGCTGCATGGAGCTGCTACACACGGCCACGCAGTTCATCGAGCAGCACTTCACTCAGGTGCGCCAGGCGGCCAGCTGGGCGCGGGACAATGAGTCATGCGTGCCGCATCAAGTCAGTTCTGAAAACAGGGCTGGCGACGTGCCGCTCTTGGCCAGGCGTGCCAATGAATCCACCCGGTGCAAAGTTCCGACGGTCTGCTTGGCAGCATATGGTGTTGCGATGTATTGCGTCCACTTTATTCTGTGCCATAAATCCGCCCATATTTTGTGTCATATACCGCCATTATGCTAAACGAGCGCTAAGCACGTCAGTGCAGTGCCCGTCACATGACACGTCATTGTCACTGGTCCAGTGCAACACCGGGCACCGTTGAACACGGTAAACTGACGCGGCGTTCAGATTGACAGACTGTACTGGGCCGGAAATTCCTGTGCGGTCCCGCGGCCTGTGTCGGCGGCTTGTTCGCAGCAGCCCTCCTGACCGCTTGCCCCACGCCGGGCAGATCGTGCAAGAAGAGGAGTTCCTCATGCTCAATCCGACGCAGCTGATCAAGCTGATCCACCGAGACGAGCTGAACGTGTTCGATGAGCGAGACGTGTACGCGGCTGTGGTCAAGTGGGTCAAGTACGACGAGAAGACGCGCCAGCCCAAGATGGAGTGCATCATGCGCTCGGTGCGTTGCGAGCTGCTGCCGCCGCGCTATCTGAAGGACCAGCTGGAGAACCAGCCGCTGCTGCAGGGCTCGGAAAACTGCCGCGAGTACCTCGCCAACATCTTCAGAGGTGGGTACGGCTGCCGACGGCGGCACGCTCCGCTTTGGTCGCAGAACGCTCCGTTCGGGCGGTGGAACGCTCCGCTCGTGCCGCGGAACGCCCCTCTCGGACGGCAGAACGCTCCGTTCGGACGGAGTAATGATCCACTCAGACGACGGAACGCTCCGCTCGGGCGGCATAATGATCCACTCAGGCGGCTGAACGCTCCGCTCGGGCGGCATAATGATCCACTCAGGCGGCTGAACGCTCCGCTCGGACGGCGTAATGATCCACCCAGACGGCGTAACGATCCACTCAGACGACGGAACGCTCCGCTCGTGCGGCGTAATGATCCACTCAGGCGGCGGAACACTCCGCTGGGGCGGCGTAATGATCCACTCAGACGACGTAACGCTCCGCTCGGGCGGCGTAATGATCCATGCAGGTGGCGGAACACTCCGCTCGGGCGGCGGGCGGCGGAACGCTCCGTTCGGGCGGCGGAACGCTCCGCTCGGGCGGCGTAATGATCCACTCAGACGACGGAACGCTCCGCTCGGGCGGCGTAATGATCCGCGTAGGCGGCGGAACATTCCGCCCGGCCGACGGAACGCTCCGTTCGTGCGGCGGAACGCTCCGCTCGAGCGGCGTCCCGCGACGACCGGTTGACCGTGTGGTGTCAGGCGCTCGAGCGAGAGAGGGCGGAGGTCAGGGCGGGGGTCGCTGGTGGCCGTGCCTCGCTTCACGGCGCAGTTCATCCTCCAGCTCCAGGTGTGTGTCGGTCGGTCTGGCGACACACTTGAGGAACAAGCCCAGATAAACTGGGGGGCGACTGATTATTCCCGAGGAACATGAATTATTCTCGTGAAACCGTTTTTATGTGCGGAACTGTACAAGCAGCGCGTGGTTTGGGACAACTATTGGGAGTTATAGTAATGTGGTTTTGTGTATGAGCTGTGTTTCAGAGAAAACTTTTCGTTACTGAAGCAGCTCCTGTCGATCGCGTGGTCGTAATTGAGCCTGTCGCAGCCGGGCGTATTTCTCACCTGCGTGAGACAGGTGGGATTCACAGTCCTGCCGTCCCGCAAACCCAACACGGCAGAGCCAAGCCGAGCCCGGCATCGGCTACGTTGCGTAAATTTGTGTGGGACAAGCATCTTTGGTATCAGTGCAAGTGACCTCGGATAGCTCCGGGTTTTGCTCACTCATATCACCCCGGGTCAACTGGACAAAAAGGTAGTGAGTTTAATTTGCATTCTGTCTTCAGAACTATATGTGCAATGCACGCCTGACAGCGCGCAGAGCAGTCTTATGTGCTCCTTTGCACACTGAATCGTTCGTCGCCGGTAACCCCTCATATGGTTCCTTATTGTACTGAGGTTATGGGGGTGCGTACGCGCTTCTACACTGCATGCCAAAAACTAACAATGGTACGAGAATGTAACAATGAGGGCTGCGTAGCGGCTCAGGCGGCCTAAAATGATTTAGACCTCGTCATAAAAAACTTATTCGTGAACTGAATTTGGCCTTGAATTTGACCTTGGCCGCCCGGGCCGAAGCTTCGTCTTACATAATCGCGTTAGCATTAAACATGATAACACACAGCAAATCAAGACTGAGAGACCTTGAGCGTGTACTGTTAAGAGTAAATCCGCACGTTATCTGGCGCCTGACCGTGATGTGTAGCTGCCGTGACCTCGACAAAGGGGTCATTTTTCGCGACGCATGAAAGGCGGGCTCCTCCAGTCTTCAGCAGCATGTGTGAGATGTCTGGGGCTCCGAGGCCCCTTGTCCGGCGAGGTGTAGCGCGGCGCTGGCGGCGTGTGCGACACGGTGGCGCTGGGGCGAGGTCGCGGCACCGATGCACAGTGCTGAAGACGTGACGTGGTGTTAAAATTGCCCCGGGCAGTCGTTAGCATGCCTTCTATTCGTTTTGCGGTCAGGTGAAGCATTGCAGTCCATCAGTTTGTTCGCAATTCGTTGGGCTCACGGGAGTCTCCATCCACCGCACGTTTTGCGGGCCGCCGCTGTACTCAGGTGTGTAAGCTGAGACAGGACGAGATCAATGCTTCATCAGGCCGTCAGCGGGTGGACTGCTTTCTTCTTTCCGCTTTAGCCTCAGATGCCATCAAACAGACTAATGGATTCGCCGAATCATGCCAGCTATGAATTTCGCCTGTGATAATGGCGACGTGGCGTGATCAAGACAACCAGACCACGTCAGCACTCTTCGTTGTGACAACGCACGTTGGCGATGGTTGCATATCCTGAAGACCTATGACCATTGTCAGGGAGTTGGGCCGTCGCCGCAGTCGCTTGCCATCTTGATGTGCAGACTTTTGCATCCGTCTGACTCGGAACCATCGCGCGTCCTTCCTCCGTCATCAACACTTGATAGCCGCCTGATTCGGCAAAAGACTCCCATCTCTACTCGAGTGGAGCCCGGCAGAGGTATGAGCTCAGAGGTGCCGTGGTGCGTGGCAGCGTGGCAGCCACTGCCGCCGGCGTCGGCGCGGCGGCCACCAGCGTGTCGGTGCCGCGAGCGCGCGGTCGGTGACGGCGACGCCTCGGCCGCGCCCGGCCTGGAGCGCGGCAGTCGGCGAGGCTCGCCGCACTAGCGGACGTGACCGGCGGCCGCCGTGCCGGTGCGGGTCCTCGCGCACTGGCGCACGAGAACATCGGTCACCGGAGCTGTGACGGCACACAGGTGCCGCAGAACCACAGCTGCGGCGCCCGGCAGCTGTCGCGGCGTCGGTTCTCGGAAGCTCGCCGTTTTCTGTCCAAGCTTGTCGAAGCTGCAGGACGTTTTGCGATCTACGATCGCGTGCAGCTGTGTGGTCGCCAGCAGAGCTAAAGGCAGTTGTGCAGGGTTCCCGGTGCCGTTCGACATGTCATGGGGGACGGGTCGGTGCCGGCGCAGGCCGCGTTCACCGGCGCCGGGGCCGCGCTGCCGACACCAGCCGTCCAGCGGCTGGTGCCGGGGTGGTACGGACCGCGACCGAGGACGTTCCACGCCAAGCGGGCGCGGCCGGCACCGGCGGCGAGAACGCCGCCTCGGCCGGCACCGGCGTCTGACGCCGAGCTCGCTCATGTCTATCGTGCCCGGCCCACGCCCGTCTAGCAGCGCGCAGCTGGTGGGCGTGTCTTGATGGCATGCTGGCCGGCGTGCTCCTCGAGCCGTCGTGATGGGGGTCCGGCCGGCGTGACGCCGCGCCTTCCCCCGCCGCAGGAGAGCAGGGCGTGGTCAGCGCCGCGGGCGGGACGAGAAGCGGCGGGAGGGGGGGGGGGGGGGGCGTCACGATCGGAGCGGCGCAGCTGATTCGGGATGTAGCCGCTCGGCGCGCACCGAGAAAGTGGCCCGACTCTGTGGTCATAAAGGTCAAGGCTTATGGCGACATGACGGACCGGTTGGCCGTTGTTTGAAGGGAATGGTCCGCATTTGACGATGGTAGAGGAAGGCGCCAGATATGATGAAATAACCTCGCTTATAACTTTGGCATACTTTTAAGCTTGTAAGCGGAATAGACTGTTCTAGATAACGCAGTTTCTCTCTTCAGTTAATACGTTCCTCAATGCGTCGTTGTTTGAATACGTCATCATGCCCTGTACATCATTGGTTGACAGCCAGTTGACGGCCCAAAGTGGAAAAGACTGCTCTTCACAGCACAACTTCTTACTTCAGTAAATATGGTTCTTAATACGTCATCGTTTGATGTCATCGACCTTGCACAACATTGTTTGAGAGTCAGTTGACGGCCGTTTCATCTGAAAACCGTGCACACGAACGCCAGACAGGAACGACTCGACAATTCTATTTTTCTTGGCCTTGATTGCTGCATTGCTTATGGAATAGCGGGATGTAAATGACTGGCGTCATGGATGCCTGGGTGACCTTTGAATAGTCTGCACATCGTCGTGGACGTGTATCTCAGAAACTAGAGTGGTTTAGTTCTTTAGAAGAGCAGGACTGTGAAATGCCCCGAGTGATCTTCAAGATGGCTATTTCAGTTTCAAACCCCCTACAAATGTGGAACACTCCCTTTAACTGGTAAAGAAGCCCCGGGCAGATTCCTCGAGGCCCGACTTGGTAGAAGTCGAACGTTTCGGGAAGGACCTCGGACGGATCCGTAGTTTGTGATGCCCAGGTCCGCTCACAGTGTGCTGTCACCAGCCGGTCCCTCGCGTCCCGCCGTACCCGTGAGTGGCGGCGCTGGCCAGCGGCTGTCACCATGTGCGGGAGCGGCACAGCGGCGTCTGCCGCGCCGGCCGGCATCCGGTGTGCAGAGGTCGGCCGGGCACCTACGCCCACGCGGCACGCACGGCCACGGAAGTGAGCGCGACCGCGACCGACCCATGCCGTCGGCGGTGTCCGGCCGCCGGCGCGCGACGGGCCGACCGCGGCCGACCGAGCGACCGTCGGCCAGCTGTCAACAGAGCGGGCCGAACGGGCTCAGTTCGGCGATGGCCTGGGGCGGGCTGGCCGGCTCGGTCAAAACATGCGGGGCCGCCACATGTCCCCAGCTGGAAATGGGCGACGTTGGCTGGGGAAGGCTGCTGTTCGACTTAAGTGAATTCGAATGTAAGACTGTCACGTTGTACAGGGAGCCTGCTGTCTTTCCAGCCTTTATGGATGCGTCAGCTGGATAAACATTGCCTTTATTCTGTCACTGTCGCTGTCGTTGATGCTTGTACTGGGCCTTTTCCTGAGCCCGGCCTGTTATGGCCAGGCTGTAGTATTGAGAGGTCAGCTCTCACTGGAGGTGGTGCTGTGACTGCATTGCACAGGACCACTGGATGACATAGAGGTACTGGTGCGGTATAGTAAGCTGCGAAAGACCCGTGTCTCCACATTTAACGCATCGTAGAATAAAGTAAGGGGGACATTTATATATCAATTCAGTTATGTGCACATAATGCACATCATGCCATAATGTCATAATGCACACCATGTTAAGGGTCGAAGGCGTTGTTGAGCTGTGCACCTAACACCTCTTATCTCACTTTTCACCCCCTCCCTCCCCCATCGGTCTCCTTGGGATGACACCCTCCAACTGCGTGTGCCCCCCCCCCCCCCCACGCTCGGATTTCTTCCGTAAAGGCTTCTGATTGTTCGGAAACAAGCCATGATGCCACGAAACGGAAACACTCTGTGAAACAACTGGCGTTATTCGGCTGTGGAGAGTAGAAAGTAGGGTCGCTGGCTGACTCGAGTTGGGATGACGCAGCACAATGAACCTTGACGCAACAGCTCTCGGGATACCGCAGTCATTCTTTGTCTCGTCGTCGCATGTGCGCAGTGGTAGGCACCCACGCGTTCCCCTCGTACTGTAGACGCAAGGCTGGCCGTCACCCGTTGGTGCCGACTGCAGCCCACGACTGCAAGCAGGGTAATTTATCCTTCGTAGGGGCGTGGTGTACCCTGCTGGACATGGTCGCCGTCCGGGTGCCGCTGACGCAGACCACCGCCCGTCACTCGCCGGGATGTCCGTCAGGGCGGGGGCGATGGGTGTCCGCGCTCTGCGGCGCGGCCGCCGGGGCCGCGCGCGAATAGTGCAAGTCACGCTGCAGCCGGCGGGGACCGTTGGCGGCACCAAGGCCGGCCGCGGTGGCGCCGCCAGGTCGGGCCGCCGCCCCCCCCCCCCCCCGACCTTGCCTGGCCGTACGGGTCCCGCCGCGCCCCCACCGACGCCCGCACGGGGGTCATGTGGGGTCGGTAATGGTTGCCGGAGCCGGACGTGCTCCGGCCAGTCCGGCCTGTTTTATGGCCCTGCTCGAAATACGCGCGCCACCGGTTTAATCTGGGAAGTGCAATTTTGGAGCCGGCTGGAAGACAATGGGCGTTGGCTCAGCTACCCTTTGTAAATGAGGCCGCAAAATGGCTGTCAGGGAGAAGTGGTCTCCATGGACTATGCTGAGTTTCCGAAACGCGCGTGCCACGGGTCGAATCTGATAGGTGCAATTTGGGAGCCAGCTGGAAGACCGTGGGCGTTGGCTCAGCTTCCGTTTGTTAATGAGGCCGCAGAATGGCTCTCAGGGTGAAGTGGTTTCCATGACCTGTGCTGAGTATTCCGGCCAACGCCAGCTAACAGGAGACGGAAATACCGGCCCGATCACCCGGAAACTACGGAGATGGAAACCCGCGATGACGAGACACGTTTGGTACGTGGCGCGGGGTCTCGGGCCGTCGCCTTCTACAGCGGACCTCCAGCTGCTCGGTTGACGCTGTGTGGTACGTGTTCGATTTATGCTGATCACCTGACTGGGAGCGGGAAAGGATGCTGGCTTCCACAGTCGCATGGCACGGCCAACTCCGAAGAAGAGTGGGGTGCGGGCCGCTGTGGATTCCAAACAGAGGGTCATGAAGATGTGCTCCGCAGCTGCTCTTACCAACAGATGGTTCTTGACGTGCTTCGTATGTTGATATGATTTTGAAGAGGTAATCTGATCATAAGTTTTTGTGCTCGGTATTTTGGCAGAACCTTGGCGGTGTTGTCACAAGAGGCCTCTATCAAGTGTCACAAGAGGTCTCTATCGTCTATGAATGCCTACTCGAAGTTTCTTTTCCTTGTTTTGTTCTGCGGGGCTTTGGGCCGCTCCTTTGTCTGTACTTTCACGCAACGTATCTGGGAGGCCTCTTTGGTTCCTGTTTTGTTTCCAGTGTTTGTCACCAGCGGCACAGTATAGACAACAGTGATGGAGCCCGCAAGGGGCCGGGAGACGGGGAGCGCGCCGGCTCAGAGCAGGACATTGCGTCGACATGCTCTGTTTTCTGTTATGGCATCATGTGTCCATATTTGTCCGTCCCTGGTTTCTTCGGGTACAAGTCTCCGTCCCAAGCAGCCGTGGTGTGATCGGACACTGCGACAGATCGGTTCTGAAGCGGACTCACTCAGTTTCCCGTAAAAAATGCACCAGTCAGACATGGCACGTTTACAGTGTGCTGTAGTCCAGTTTTGAGCATAGCCAATCAGTGCATCGCTGGCCTGTAGCCGATCTTAAACCGGACCTCCCCCCCCCCCCTTCCCCCGGCTGCATGCATTTCACCGTGACCGTGCGCTCGTCGGCGCGAAGTCCCCGGCTCCACGGCGGCCGTGTCAGCCGGTGGGCTCGGGTCCCTCCCGGCTTCGCGGCGGCCGTCAGCCAGTGGGCGCGGGGTCTGCAGGCGGCGCCCGGCTCGGCCGCAGCCGGCGCTGACCTGGCGAGAGGCCGCCTGTGCTATGCCTGACCTCGCGGGCACTGCTGCCTGTGGAGCAACGCCCAGCCGAGGAGAGGAGATCGTGTAACGGGACGGTCACGGTTGGCGTGTGCATGAGTGTGTTTGTGTGGCCGGCGGGACTACACAACGGGACGGCAAGGTTGAAGTAAGGTGGTGTAGTGGTATGTGCACCTATGTGGTAGGGGTATCACCATTCTAGTCAGGTCATGGGTGCAGCGAGGTGATGATTGAGCGCAATTGCTGCTTCTTTTTCTCGTATTCATGGTCTCTAAAATAGCATGGAAGCAGCTACACTTCTGAGACGACTCACTGAAGTTAATCTCAATAGTTCAGTGCTCGCACACAGCACGAGCAGGACTTCAGCAAGATCCCAGTTTTTGGGCATTGTTAGATCTCATGCTGAACATAAGTGATCGTGGATATGCCATGAGGCACTGGTTAAACAACGATAGACCCAGGTTTTTTAGCATTGTGAGCTCTTGTGCTGAAAATAGCTGACTCAAAATACCAGAGGGGGGGGGGAGGGGGACACCAGTTAACGAAGATTTCATTCATTGATACACGTATGTTTAGAATACTCTACGTTTCAAGACCGCGCTCATCGTCCCGACCGGATAATAAATGAGCTTTGGAGCTCCATTACCGATGCCCGAAGTAAGGCATGCAAAGTGACTCATTTCTTACAAGAACTGAACGCATCCACACCTCGCATCAACACGCCTGGTTTCCACGGCCTGTCGCGGCTTCGGCTCCGCAGTCGTTCATTAAGTGGCGTGGTTTGTTATGCTATCTCATCTGTTCGCTGGTCTTACTTCGTCAGCACTAGTCGTTAGGATGATTTATGAGACTGCATAGTTTAAGACCATCAGTGTTGCACCCCTCACTCTCAACGCCATGGCTGCTGTGGACCAATAGCAAACGCGACTGGTGGCTGCTTATTCCAGTCCGGCCGTGCGAATGTTTTCGCGCCCACTTTCATTTGCTTTATATGCCAGGATGTAGCTTGCAGCTCCGGTGAAATTGAACGCCGTCCATGCACCGACGCCGCCCGCTCGTGCGCGCCCATTGATATCGTGCCCGCGAGTGCCCGTATATCATGCCCGCGAGTGCCCGTATATCTCTACGTGTTCACCTGTGCCCTCGGATGGGTCCAGATGATCCCCATGTCGGCTGACGCTGCCGTGCTCTGCTTGCGAGCGTCCCCCCGCCTGCTGGAAGGCCTGCCGCCCTGCTGTCTGGGTCTGTCCGTCAATCAGCGATTCATAGCGTGACCGATGTTCCCCCTCCCTCCACCGGGCGGCGGCGCCGGGTCTCCCCTCTGACCGGCGGCCCGTCACGTCCACAGAGCTGACGCTGCACAGGACGCAGGGCATCAAGGAGCGCACGCCTAACGCGCCGTGCGTCATCTACGTGGCCGGCGGCTACCTGCGCTTTAGCCTAGACAAGATGGAGTGTTACGCGCCCTGTGACCGGGTCTGGCACGAGCTGGCGCCACTGCCGGACGCGCGCTCCGGCCTTGGCGGCGCCTTCATGGGCGGCCTGCTGTACGTGGTCGGCGGCCGGAAAAACAACCCCACAGGTCAGCGGCGGACGGAGATGGGGGACTGCTGGCCGCACTGGTCAGTGGGGGCCGGAGAGAGGGACTGCTGGCTACAGGTCAGCGGCGGGCGGAGACGGGGGGGGGGGGGGGGACTGCTGACCGCACTGGCCAGCGGCGGGCGGAGACGGGGGACTGCTGGCCGCAGGTCAGCGGCGGGCGGAGACGTGGGACTGCTGGCCGCACTGGTCAGCGGCAGACGGAGATGGGGGTCTGCCGGCCACAGGTCAGCGGCGGGCGGAGACGGGGGACTGCTGGCCGCACTGGTCAGCGGCGGACGGAAATGGGGGACTGCTGGCCGCAGGTCAGCGGCGGTGAGGGGTGGGGATCCGACGCCGGGGGCCAGCGGCGGGGAGAGCACCGCGGGGCGGGGAATGGTGCACACGCTAGCGTCAGAGGAGGGAAAAGCGACCAGACGGGGATTCGTGGGAAGAGACACACATTGTTTGTGATCCATGAAATGGTGATAGCAGTAGCTCAAAGAAGGAGGCATGAGTTGAATAGGAACTGCATACCATCCCCAAGTTAGTGCCGTGGCATGGGCGGTGACACCGACCCACGGGGTATCCGTGTGGCTGCACAGGCACGGCTACCAACCCCGGTGGCCGCCCAGCGATCGGCGGCGTTTTTGTCAGCCGCCGTGAGGCTCGGGATCAACAGCCGAAATTGCATTTTTGCTGAGTCACCGGGCCACTCGATCCGGCTGCCGAAGGTGCTGAGTCACTGTCCGCCGCGGCGATCAGACACAGCAAAGTCGGTGGACTCCGACGCAGCCGTGATAAATGTGCCTTTGATTGCGGAAACCTGCAAAATGCCTTCCGCCGTTTGCCCGTTACGTGGTCCAAGGTCATGCCCGGAGGCCGGTCCGGCCGTGGCCCAGCGAGGCCGGCCGACACCGCACGGCCGGTCCGGGCGGGCTGGCTTCTGTCCCGCGTACGCCGCACTTTCACCGACTGGGGGCGGCTGGGGGCTGCGGGCTGTGGGCGGGACGTCCGGCGATGGTGGACCGCCGCCGCCGCCGCCGCGCGTGCCGCCGTCCGTGCGTCACGTGCGGCCCTCTCACCGGCGCCCCTCTGCGCAGGCGTGCTGGACAGTAACCGTGTCGACTGCTACAACCCGATCACGAACGCGTGGCGCGCGTGCCCTGGCACGCTGGTGCCGCGCAGCCGCCTGGGCGTGGCGCTGCTCGACGGCTACCTGTACGCCGTCGGTGGCTCCAACGGACAGCAGTTCCTCAACAGCGTGGAGAGGTGCGTGTGTCCGACGCGGCGCGGTGAGGCCACCCGCGCCGAGAACGCCGCCGCCGGCCTTGCGGGCGTTTGCGCGTGGTTTGCTACATGCTTAGTAATGAGAAGTAAAGGCGGATATGGCAAATAGGAATGGTACGTCTAGTTGTAGTTTGCAATGCTGTATCTGCTAACCATCATACTGTGACATCCGTAAGAAGCTTGAAGCGTTTGTATGAAGCTGCTGTTGTTCAGACACTTCAGCTCTGGCGGGAAAGAATTCTGTGATCTTTTTGCGACATGGGGATATTCTTCGCTGTATTGTACAGCAAACTGTGTCCATCCACCTGAAAAGCCTTCTAATACCTGAAGTGATCTCGTGACCAGCCGTGACGGTGGCATAAGTGTCGGGGGCCTCCGCACCGTGTCCGACGAATGACGCACACAACAGCCGAATTAGAATAACGAATGACCTTAGGTGCAGCCCCGTCTGCCCTTGCCCGGGCGGCAGAGCTGACCCTCCCCCCCCCCCCCCGTCCGCCGCCAGGTACTGTCCGGACAAGGAGTTCTGGACGCTGATGCAGCCCATGTCGACGCCGCGCATGGGGCTGGGCGTGGCCATGGTGAACCGGCTGCTGTATGCCGTCGGCGGTTACGACGGCACGGCCCGGCTGCGCACCGCCGAGTGCTACCACCCGGAGGAGAACAGCTGGACGCCCATACCGCCCATGAACACACCGCGCAGCGGCATAGGTACGCACCGCCGCGCCACAGCTACTATTGATTCACACCTCCACTGCACCATAATACCACCCGTGCAATAGTCGGCCCACTCACTACTGCTGCAACGTGTTGTAGCGTACGCGACCTCCGTGTCTGGCAGAGGTCCAGCCTTACGACGTCGCCGGGCAAAATCTGACGATCACGACCGTGCTGGAAGGCTCGGCTTTTAGCCCGTGTAGACTCGCGGCTGATGCAGTTCTGACGTGAGGGCCATCACACGCCTGTTGCGTCAGGGGGCGGGACGCGAGGGCGGGCCAGCCCCAGGTCTGTAAGCTGCCGTCGAATTACGTGTCAGTTCGATTACGGTGCAGTTCGGTAAGTCTACCTTCAAGTCGGACGGGGTCGGTGGGAGGGGGCGGCTGAGCATGCAGTACTGCCACCCCACTCCGCGGATGCCAGCGTGTTCTTTGCCGGAGTTGTCTTTCGCTGAACTGTGGCCTTGTTTGGCCATCTGTACCTGGACACGATAAAAGAATGTGTGCGCGTGGGCTGGAGGTCGGTGGTGAGTTTTGGCATTTGTTGCTATGTGGTGGGGTAGGATTTTGTTGTACATGCCATTCCGGTGTACGACGAAGGAGAATTTCTTGACGAAACTTACGGGACTAGACGGGAGCTTACACATGTGTGCGGAGACTTGGGAAATGCCAAGAAACCGAAAATCAGGGCAGTTGATATTCTCGAAATATTGGCGTCCTTGTCGAACTGTTTTGGTTCGTGGCAACAAACTAAAATGCGTAACACGGAAGGACGAGAGGAGAAAGGAGACGAAACGCCCAAAAAGAACCGCCGCGCGCTGCGGCTCCCGACCGCCGAGTGCTGCGTCGGCCCGGGAAGTCGAGGCGTGCGGTGTAGTGCAGCGTCAGCAGGGGCGTTACGGCTGTGACGGGGCCGCGTGCAGCGCACGCTCGCGGTCGGCCCGTGACTGCAGCGGCGGTGCCCGCGGCGCCCGGCCGGACCGGTCGCCGTTTGTGCCGAGTCACGGCAGCTGGCCAGATTGTCCGCGTGCCCGGTGGTTCCCTCGGAGGCGCGTGGCCGACGGGGCCGGACCTTCCCGAAGGCCGCGCCGGACGCGCGGAGGAAACGGCGGCGAAGAGGCGCGCCCCGTCACCACACCGGCACGCCTCCGGCGGCCCCGCGCCAGCCGGCTGGGGACGCCCTGATCGGGAGAGCTTGTGTCAAGGGGCATGTTTGTGATAGCTGGCTTCTCATGACGACATGTGGCGGGCTGACGTGATGGATGTGGCTTGTCCGATGTGTCGTCGAGCCGTGACGGGACCGCCGTCGTTAGCTGGCGAGCGGGTGGTATCGCTGCCCGCCCGGACTGACCCTGACCCTGACCCGGCCCGCACCCCTCGTCCCAGGCATCGGCGTCATTGACCGGTTCGTGTACGTGGTGGGTGGCTACGACGGCAACCAGCAGCTGCGCACCGTCGAACGCTACGACACGGAGGAGCGCCGCTGGGAGATGGTGGCGCCGCTGCCCGCCCCCAAGTCGGCGCTCAGCGTAGCTGTCGACGAGGGCAAGCTGTACGCACTCGGTGAGTGGTCCGACCGCCGCCGGGCCCCAGCAGCGGCCTGACCCGGTGCCGGTGGCTCGGCCGCACCGTCACCGGCACGGCGGCGGGGGGGGGGGGGGGGGCGCCAACCTTTCCTGGAGGCGGTGTGTGGGGTGCTGACCCGGCACCACGTGAGGGTCGTGACTGCGCACGCCTCCGCAGGTGCCCCCGGCGCGCGGCCGCCGTGGTCCGTGTTGTACGCGGATGTGTCGCATAAGGATGACTTTCACTTCGATGCCGCCGCCGGAGTGGTGCGGCCTGTTCCCATGCGTTCAAGCTGCTCAGTCATGTTTGCTGTCACGCCTGTTAGGCCGGGGATCACCAGCGATGATAAGCCTGTGGGTCAGACGCCTATGTGCTACACTGTTGCAACGCTTGGAGGACTTTGCTTCGGTGGCGGCCAGATAACATCCGATGGAACGTCCACTCTGAAGAACAGCTGGGAGCGTGCCGTGCCCATGTCAAACGTCAGCCCTTTACTAATGTCGTGCGCCACGCGACCGGCGACGGTTGCTTGGTGGATTAATTTCTTCCTGGTATTGACAGTACACATTGCCCACCCGGGAGTGTCTTGGAGTGTTTTGTCATGTTCCGATAAGATTACCGAAATGCCAACGTCGTGGCATTTCGGTATGTGGAGAGCCTGTTTCGCAGTGGAGGGCTGGGGTCGCAAGCTCAAACTCATGACCCCAACCCACACACACGATCAAGAACTGCGGGCACAAACTGGTCGCAGCGCAATTGCCGTCCCCCGGAGCCTGAGCGATGACTGTTACCCGGGCGCCGTGTGCTGCCGGACCGCGCTGACCTCTTGACCCCTTGGCCGCGTCACCAGGCGGCTTCGACGGCAACCACTTCGTCAGCTCGGTGGAGATGTACGACCCGGCGCGCGACGCGTGGACGGCGTGCGCGCCGATGACGGAGGCACGCTCCGGACACGTGTCGGCCGCCTCCGTGCGGCCCTGCTTCGTGCACACGGACCCGTGCCTGCTGGACCGGCGGCAGGCCGGCGGCGGCCAGCACGGCGCCAGCTGACCCCGGTCGGGCGCCGCCTAGCCGGCCGCGCCGCCTGCGGCAGCGAGGCGCGCGCGCGGGCGTACCTGAAGCGCGCGGACCGGGCGCGCGGTGCAATACGCGACGGCGGTGACGGACGGCTGTGTGGGGGCGGCGCTGTGGCGGCGCGCCCCGGAGGCTTGGGCGGGCGCTGGCACCTCGTGGGCCGCCGCCCGCGGTGCCGTCCCGGTGTAACTGGTGAGCACCGGCGCACCGTACCGGGATCACGCTCCTGGCACTGGCCATGGCCAGCGTGGCGAGCGGCGTCCGACCGTGTCTGGACGAACGAGTTGTGTTGGTTATGAACCACGATGGCGGGATATTAGGTGACCGCGTGACGCGAGTGTCATTTTACGTGCCGATGCCTTGTTTACGGATGTTCGGGGCGGGGGTGTTAGCACAGGTGTAATGTCGTGTCTGCGGCGCGAAATTTCCCTTCATTTAAATATGCGATTACCGCAGTTTGATAATGCCGACAAATCACCATGTCGGGTTTCAAATTATTGCACAATTTCATCAATGCTAGCCCAAACACACCCTCCTGGTGATGCTGGCCGAAACGATGCGTTGTGATAGGCTTGGCGACACCGGTGGGTATCTTTTATTCTGCAGTCGCTTATGCTGATCTGATGCATATCATCCGCGAGATCTCTGCAGTTGCGAGTAAGACCGAACCAAATTACGTTTTTTCGGGGGGGGGGGGGGTGCAGTAGACGAGGGGCAACTGAAAAGCTCGCAGCCCAGTGAGGAATGTGTTGAGCTAGAATCAGTGCGTTACAGCCGTAGGACTTCGCGGCCGTGCCGGCCCCTCATACTATTACATTACATAGCTAATGCACTGTCATGCCCGCTGCTGATTGCATTGCCCGGTTAATGCACTGTCATGCGCGCTGCTAGTTGCATTACGTCGCTAATGCACCGTGACACCCACTGATAACGTACTGTCTCGCTTCTGCTCCGGTAAGAAGTAACGCTCACACTGAATACTTTGATAGGCTTCACGACAATAAGGGCCTGGCAAATCCGCCCATCCGCGAAGTACCGCTCCGAGGGTGTCCCTACTAAGTAGTTTAGTTTCCTCCGTGGCGTCTGACGCCACCTGCTGTCACGACTCAGCGATACCACATCCGAACCGCGCGCTGGGTACAGGCCCATGTCAAGGCTGTACCTGCTTATAGAAGCAGAGCCGTCATCGGATCCTGGGGAGGGTGAAGTCCGTGGGTGGGGGGCAGTAATGTTAGAACTTGGTTCTGACGTTCATTGAATCATGCAAGTAAAGCACAGCGTCAAGTCCTCTGCAGGGGCCGGGACCCCTCTAGCTTCCTGAGTTGCGCCTTCACGTGCGTAGCTGGTGGGAACTATGCACGTGGTTCAGCCTTTTGTCTGAAATTCATTCGAACTGCGCGCTGGCCGCATGCCCGATCACAACCGGCAAATGGCAAAGGTAACGAACCCGGAGTGGACACGCAGGTGAAAAATCTGTCGTCAGCCCTACCTGTTCCAGTCGCGTCTTCAAGTTACGCCGCCGATCCACTGTTGGGACCGTTGACCCTGTCATTGGTGTCACTGTCTACACAGCGCCTCGGGCGGTGACTCCCCGAACGCCGTTCATCTGCTGACGGCCGTCGCAACAGTCTCCGCCAGGGACGACGTGTGAGCGGTGACACCATCGACAGGAGCCAACAGCCCGAGTGGTCATTCCACGTGTCGTGCACGCCGTCATTGATGTTGCCAAAGCGCGTTTCCGAGGTGAGGAGAGGAGATGTGTTTGACGTCGCTGCGTGATAGGGGTGTGATGTGGACATTGTGGTTACCGTGCGGCTCACACCGCAGCTGGCTGTCCGGACGTTCCCTCCAAAGGGACGCCACCACGACAGCCCCCACTTGAGGCTTTAGACGAGTGCGTCTGCTCGGGAAGACGAGTTTGTGAACCGCTGGCGCTCGGCGACGCGCGCCGTCCGACAGCCACGAGCGACCGCGCGGCTGCGTCGGCGGGCAGATAATCAAACGTGGACGCGGGCGGCCTGGCGCCGCCCGTCGGCTCACGGCTCCGGTCGCTGTCGGTGCCCGTTATCTGATGGCGTGGTGTGGAACTGTCCTCGCTGGCGTTTGGGAGCTCGTGAGCCCTGCTCTGCTCAGCAGCCCGGGGGCGCTCGACTCGTATGCAGTCACCTTTCAATGCCTTTTAGCGCGTTGTTCGATCGTCCGAGACGATGGCGGCTGTAACCTGGGATGGATGACCTTTAGTTTCGCCGGCAGGTGAATTATTCGCTGCGATGCAGTATCCTTGACCTTTGTGAGTTGATATGCGCATGTGCTGGCGAGTAAATCTGTGATGTCTGTTTATATATTCGCGCGGGTATCTGATGTCGGCATTTTTGCTTCAGTGGAACGAGTCGCGTTCTTGGTTCTGAGGCGGCCTCCGGCAGCATGAGAACCGGCAAGCATACAGAATGGGGTTGTGGGCGCTACAGCAGGACAGAAGGGCGCAGCGCAGACAAGTAAACGCCGACATGATGACGGGCGCGTTTTAACGTAGCATGTGACTCTTTGTGTATCGGGACGCTTCTAACCTGCGCAGGCGGAGTTGCAGGACATTCTGAGCGTTTAGTGGCCTTAACAGACGGAGTGTCCCCAAAAGATCGCATTGCGGCACGGCTTCTATACTGATACAGCTGCCAGCGCGCCAGCACAACACACCAGCCCAGCGCCACACAGACGCGCAGGCTCGCCGTGCTGTCTTGCAACTCCAACGATACAGCGCTGGCGAAACGCACCTGTTTGCAGTTTTTCCGGCGCTGACGACATCGGCGCGTCGGCCTTACCAGCGGCGCGTGGCCCCGGCGCTGCCACCGAATGTAGACAGCTGCTCCCCGAACTCTACTGCCGTGAGGCGTGGCAAAACCGCAGATACACAAGTTTCCAGAACATCTGATCAATTGAGATTTGGATGCATATATTTCAGTTTTGTTTGAAATACTTATTTTTGTTAAGGCGTGGTCTGATCCCAAACGACGTCGAGGCAGATGTTTCAACATAAACGGCTCTATTTTTGATGGATGCTGGGCACAACTGGCGTGGACTTAAACGTATTGGTTTATACCTTTGGACACATACGTGACTAGAATACACCATGTTCAAAGTTGTTCACTGCTACAGAGTGGTGTGTAGCGAACACCCCGAGTCACACTGTACCGGCTGCAATCGCGACATGCAGTACACCAGTGCCTCAAACTGGACAGCCATCCTCACCCCCGCCGTTCACAGGGGCTCTTCTCGCGTGAATTTGCCCTCCGTCGGCTGGGCCGCCGGGCGAGCGAGCTCCGTGTGAGCCGAGGCTCGCGGGCCGCGGCGTCTCTGATCCGCGTCCGGGGTGAGCCGCCGGGGGTGCCGCCGCTCCTGGAACACCCAATCAGCGGCAACGCATCACAACCTCACCCACTCGCCAGCGCCCCCGCAGCTGGGGAGAGTGTCTGACATTGGCAAGGGCTTTGAACTGACAAAGTTCGTAGTGCGCCACGATATATTGCCAATCACGATCAAGTTGAGGCCCATCACGCTCCAGTTCCCACGCTCCAATGCAGCTCGGCGACAGGCGCCTTGATATCCCGATACTGTGACATGACCCGGATCCAGACAACCACACCAACAATGGCACGGCCCGGCTGCCGGGCGCCGCCGTCGGTCTGTGACTGGCTGGATGTGACGCCGTGACTGCGCCATGACGCAACAGGGCTGGATGCTTTCGTTCCGCATTATCATACTTCACGTACTTTTCGACAAAAACGGATATCACGACCGTGTTTGAAACAGTGGCGTAGCCAAGGGTTGCACGGGCTGCGCCTCACAGAGCTTCCGTCACTCCATCTCGTAACCATAAAGCAGCACCAGCAAGGCTGCGATAAGACGGAATTCTACGCGTCTTGCGACATCCAGGTCTGTTGTCTGCAACATTGTGGCCAGACTGCAGACGCCTGGCATCATCCAGCGTGCAGTTACGGGGAAAAGTGCGAAGAAAACCGCTGAAAATAGCGGATCTGAAGTACATCATGACCGGGACATTTATAAGAGAATGGCTAATGCCAGATACCGGAAAAGAATCAAGGGACCCCCAGGCAACAGATTCAGAAAACGGCGAGACGGCTTCGTCAGCTTGGTCGTTGGTCGACGAAGGCCAGCACCAAGTCAGAGGCATTAATGGATGACGAATCCCACTGAAATAGGAGCTAGATCCCTTCCAATGCCTGCCATATGTCTTGGCTGATGGGAGCGCTCCATCTCATGTCAAATTTCTGTCCGAATCAAAGTTCCGGCGAAAACGTCTCGCGCGGCTCGCCATAAGCCCAAGGGGATGATCTCCACCACACACCCTACCAAGCAAGACCAAGGAGGGACGTGGGTCACCGGGAGAAACATTCGCGGGGGCGTCCCTGTCCCATGACCTGGTCTTCCGGCCCGGCCCCACCAGCACCCAGCATACCGGCAAAACGGGCAGCTTCTGGAGGAGGGGCGAGTGCCTGTTGAGGTACGTGCAATAAATGCGCCCTGCACCCCGCATCCCGCCTCGTCCTATCACCGGCCTCTGGAGGCTGATCAAGCAGGAAGCGCGCAAAACGCGACGGGGAGCCAGGACGAGGCCTCCAGCTGGAGCTCAAGATACAGCAGGTAACCCGGCATATGAACCCATACGCGCCGCGATGGATCCGATCTATGTCTGGGATCTATCTCTGCGGGCGTGCGCCGGTCCGCGAACAAAGGCATCGCATGATAGATCCACCTGTGTGATGTTCGCGGTAAAAGGAATCAGTTCAGACCGCTGTCAGCTCGTTTCGTAAGACGCTAGCAGAACTGAGGGACAGACTTTGTTTCACCTATATCGTCACCCGTCATGTGTGTACTGGCGCCGTTCCCAGCTTGAGACCGTCCGGTGCGCGTACAGATGGCGCTGCCGTCTGCAGCCCGCCCGGGCAGGCAAACGAACGCGGCGTCCCCACCTTGAGATCGTGCCGACCGGTGCAGAGCTGGCGCTGGGTCTGCCGCAACAGGCGACTGTGTGCGTCGCGCAGTCGTTGCTGCGTCGCCAGGAAGTGCCGGGTGAGAGCGATCTGCTGCACCAGCATCGCCGTGATGACAGGCTCGTCGTCGCCGTCGTCGTCTACGAACACTGGGAACAGACACGGTCCGGCTGACAAGAACAAGCGCGGGAGACCGCCAGCTGGTACTCGGCGCGCAACCGAATGACGTTTCGCGATGAACGATGGCTCTTTCGATGACAACGGGAAGAGTTAACAAGGATATATGCGTCCGTGTTATGCTTCTTCCGCATCCAATCGCTAGCGTACCCGGGGAAGCAAAGTAGTTTTGATCGAACTGAGAGGGTTTGGTTAGCAAATGATTCTACTCCAGTAGACATGGCTAAGAACGACCTTTCGCTGCCCGTCTAACATCACCCCCGGAATGCACCCATTCACAACCAAGGCCCTCGGTTCCGTTCCCGTTCACAGTTGACCCAGCAGCAGGCCAGCACTGCTGTCCACCGCGCGCACTGACCGGTGCCGGTGGGAGCGGCCCGGCCGCCGTGCTGCGGCACCACCACGGTGACGGGCGCCGGCGCGTGCCAGGCCTGGCGGCGGCAGCGGCGACAGTCCCTGGACGTCGAGTAGGCCACGCGCCGCTGGTAGCTCACCACCAGCGACTCGGACGCGTCGGTGCGGTCCTGCGCGTCCGGCCAGCTGGACTGGCGTCGCCGCCGGCGCCGCTCGTGGTCGGAGGCCGGCCTCACTCGAGCCTCCCGGCTCGGCTTGCGTCTGTCGCCACCGTGCGAACCGCGCTCGGCGGACGGGTCCCCGCGGTTCCTTGAAGTCCGCTCGGCGTGCTGGCGCTTTGTTGACGCTGGTTTGGCCCTGGCTTCTTCGTGCGGTTGTTTTCCAGCACTTGCGGGCCGATGGTCACTGCTCGAGGGACGATCTCTCTTAGCACGAGCGCCGTGACGGCCCGAAGCGCGCTTTGCGCTCCGAACGTGCTTGCTTTGCGTCGTTGGGACACTCGGCTCGGACTTTTCACCGGAGGCACCAGCAGGCTTCCTGGACAGCGGACTCAGCTCGCGACGAGCTGAGCGATCCGAGGCCTCCTCTTGAAGCGTCGAGTCCTCAGACTCTGTGCCGGTCCCCTGCTCGCGCTCCCTCCCCCGCTCCCGCTCGCACTCCCGCTGCGGCTGCGCCTGCGGCCTCGGGTGCGAGTGCAGGTCCGGCTCCGACGCTGACTCCGAGTCCGAGTCCGAGTCCGACTTGGAATCTGAGTCGTCGGTGCCGGCCGAGGGCCCGGTGGGCACCGAGGTGATGGTGCGGCTGAGCTCCTCGGGCACGTCGGCGCTGGACAGCGTGCGGCGCCGGCCCACCGACGCCGACTCGGTCCGGATGGAACTGGACACCGAGGCCGCCCCGCTGGCGTCCGCCGCCGCTGCCGCTGCCGGCTCCGTGAGGATGGAGCTGGAGGAGGACGCCCGGCGAGCGGCGGCACGCTCGGTCGGCACACTGCTTGAGGAGGAGGAGGAAGAGGAGGACGAGTCGCCGGACGAGAGCGCTTCTGGGGCCGAGTCGGTGGCGTCCGCCTCGTCGCCCGAGATGCCGCTCAGGATGATCTTCTCGTCACGGATGCTGACCGAGGAGCGGGCGCGCGGTCGGCTCAGTGAGCCGCCGCTGCTGCCTAGGTCAGCCCACGACTTGGTGGGGCTGGAGGTGGAAAACTTGCGGCGCAGCATCTCCATCTTGCTGCCGCGCCGCGGCGCCGCCGCCTTGGCCGGCGACTTCAGGCTCAGCTGGTCGATCAGGTGGCTGATGTCGGTGTCGCTGTCGGCGTCCTCGGGCGGCGTCCTCCCGCCGGCGGCCGCCGACGGCTTCACCGGGCGGGCGGGTGAGCGGCCCTCGCCGCCCCGGGCTCCGGCGGCTCCTGGTGACGGTCTCCCCGGTGCCGGAGCAACGGCTGCTCGGCCGGTGCCACGGACTGCCGGGGAGTTCGCTGGTGCGACGGACGGTCGTCCCCGGCCAGCACCCTGACGAACCAACGCGGGCTCACCTCCGCCACCGTCGCGCACTGGCGCGGACGGGAGTGGCTTGGAGACGGCTGGCGACTTGAGCCATGGCGAGGCGGCAGAGCGGCTGATGGCAGGAGAGCCACCAATGTGCTGCTCAGTGGTAGTGGCTGCAGTGCCAGGTTTGCTGCCTGCTGCAAACTCTTTCCGAGCTGCACGGAGCTCACGTAGATAATCCTGAAAGCATGAATACTTACTCAATGAGTGCTGTTTAAAACTGGCAATGAAAGGTCACCAACATCAATCAAATAATACAATTTGTGTAATATTAGAAACCATGTTAGCAACTGTCTGCTCAAGAAATGTGAGGAAATCAGCCCTCATTATTTAAAATAAGAACCACATTGGGTACATAAGGTACACAAATAAATCATCTTGACTATCACAACAATATCACACAAATTCCATTTTATTTTACCCTGTTGAGTTTACACCAGCTGGTCAAAGTTATCAATAAATAATGAGACACACATCCAGGCATCCCAGGGTGAAATAGTTGCACACATTTTGTGAATTGCTAAATATTTATTTACCAGACATTTTGTTAAACGCTAAATATTAATTTATTTGTTCGAGTTCCAGACTTCAACAAGATTTAGAAGAAACCCCAGGGCTGGCAGCATTACCTGAACGCTTGTCATGTTCTTGGCCTTGGTGTAAACACCTATTTCATGGTTGAGCCATTTCCCCTCGTCCCGCGAGCGTCCCTGTCACTCCAACCATCGCAAGAACGCATCACCATTTTCCATGTCCACACTTCATTACTTTATTCGTCTAAGTGCATCCCCGTCACCTGGTTATGAGTTGTGGATCACGGGATCTCGGTACCGTTCTCAATGACCCATATAGGCACCCAATCCCGACTTTACGGCAAATGCAAGCCAAATCGTGCAAGCCGTGTTTTGGAACACAGCTCCCAGATCCTTCATATATTTAGGAAATATTTCTTCGGTGCGCCAAAAACCTTTTTCGCTCGTGTTGTTTAGCAGATATGTGCCTGAATCAAAAGGATGGATCCCGAATTCCAACGCATTCCATTTTAATTGGATTCTGTGATGGGGTCTCGGAATTGTTAGGTTGAAATACAGTCACACGTCCGCTATTTAGCACCCTCACTGTTTTTGGAAGTGCCAACAAATAGGAGCCCATATTCTCTCCTGTGGAAAGTTCAAACACGGCGCAGGATAGACACGGAGACCCGTGCCAGTGTGCGCGTGTGCGCGGAACGGAAACGTGGAGGAGCGGTGCGTTGGGTTGGGAGATGCGGAGCACGTGCAAGAGGTACTTGTGATTGGTACTTCATCCGGGAACGTCGATTGATCTGAAGGTCGGTCGGATGGAATAACTGAGAAGCAGCTCTTTGAGGTGAATATAATTTGTTCGCTGGTGGTAAGTAGATATCTACAGGTTATGGTTATAAGCCATGGGGTGACGTCCTTGGGCTCAGATAGTAAGCGTCACTTAGACATACTTTAAGTAACATGAAATAATGCATCAAAATTATTGAATCTTTTATTCCAGCATCAATAGGTAAGACTAGAGCTTATGACGATCATAATATTTTTAACATATGTAAGGGCTCCTAACTACCATGTGCTCCATTCTGATCTCGGGATGGCCATGTATTCATTCCAAGCATTGTTGATGTGCCCTAAAACTCCAGTCATCATCATTCTGAGCATGTCTTGATTGACCCTTTAGCAGAGAATTGTTTTAAAATGGTTTAAAACACTCCAAGTTACCATTTTTTCTGATATCTTCCAATGTTGCTTGGCCCGTCACACTTCTCGATGGTTTGTTCCTGTCTAGTTATAAAATATTGTCCTGATCCCCTGCACTGGTCATCTCTTCTTGTTCTTGACTCCATTTCATGTGACTGATGTGTCATAAGGAGTTTTCTATGTTGCTATTATGCAATTGCCACTGCATTGTGTTTGGCAGTGTATGTTTGTGTGTGTGTATATATCTGGTATGCAAGCATAGCATTGCATGTACTTTAGTTCTCTGTTCCAAAGGCTGGTTCATGCAGCTCCTTTTTCAGGAAATCATAATTGCTCACCATACCTTCATTAAGATAGCTTGCAAAGCACCATTAATACCAGCAACATATTTTAAATTCAGGTAGCTTTAGGAGCAGTAGACCTCAGCAATATCTTGCATTATTGACATGACATATGGAAGCCATAGAGCTTGTCAGAGTTTTCTTATGCCCAAAACTTCTATGGCTGGTCCAATATGGAGTCATCTGCATCATGTGGGTTTAACCCAGTAGCTTTAACCATTAAGTGGCAACCTTAAAGAATGATGGCTTTTCATTTGAAATTTAGCTCAAACAAGTTTGCACCACATTGCCACAACAAAATTTTGTCCAGCCTGTTATGTTTGCTGACTGGTTAGTGACTTTTTCAGATTCAGGTATTTCTGGTTGCATTTGGTCAGTTAGTCTCGCTTGCATTAATGACCAATTTGTCATATTGCCCAGCCAAGCCGATAAATAAACCATAGTAGGAATCCATTTATTTCAATGAAAACTGCACATGCAAGTAACACAGAGTTATTGGTGTGAGTAACTCGGCAGCCCTTGCCTGGAACTTGATTTTGATATCTTCTAAGGCAGGGGTTAATTTCAATCTGTCTGGTGTGTACTGTTTCAAACCCATCCATTCTATGAATCCACATGGGCAAACCAAACCCCTCACTTTCCTCAGCATCAGCAATGGCAAAAACTAAAAAACCAGGCAAGAAAGGAGTGGGCCATGCAGAAAAAGTAGCTAACATCAAGAGCAAGGAAAGGGCAATTAATCCATTTGAAATCCATTTCAACAAACAAAAGCATACTGTCCTGGGTCAACATCTTCCTGGTGAGAAAGGAAAACCAGGGATCTCCAAGGCCAAGGCTCTGAAAAAGGTGGGTGATTACGCAACTTACAATCACTGCATATAGATTCGGTCTTCAGTATCAGTCATCAATACAGATGTCGCCCTCGGGAGGTTCTTCTTTTAATGGGGTCTTGGTTTACGCCCCTGTTTAGGCTTCTTTCCATCAAGTTTCCTGCCAGATTGCCCTCTTAAAGGTTTCTTGTGTTTTTATTTGGATAGCTATTTTGGCAGCATTTTGTGGGTTATCAGTCAGATAGTTTGTGACATGAATTGGGGCAATCACACACCGAACAATCATAAGGTCCAGCCATATGACGTGTTTGTATTTCATGCTGCTAAAGACATGCTTCTTACAGCGGAAATTGACGTTGCTGCGAGAGTTGAAAACCAGGACGAAATCCAATGAGTTTTTGGATCGTCGCATTGGTGAGAAGACCAAGGGTATGTCGGTGGAGGACCGCCTGGCAGCCAGGTTCGCCGCCGAACGCAAGAAGCAAAACAAGCAGGTGGGTCGGGATCTCCTTAAGTTATCATCCGTCTGTATCTAAGGGTGAGCAGGCAGTGAGAGTGGTGCTTTAAGGGTCACGTGGTGGGCAGAACATGAATGTTGTGGACGACCTTGTTCACAAGTGGTGCTGAACAGCTGTCGGCGCACCGCACGATGATCGCACGATCCAGTGCACTTCGGATGCACCTGACAGGGAAGCCGAGCCCTCGACTGGCAGCGGTCACTAGGGGCATCGCTTTCAATCCAACATCTCCTGTTTGTCCCAGATCAGATGTCGCTCTACAATCGGGCATGGTCACGTTTGCAGTGAAAGAACGTCGCGTTTTAATCTGCGCGGGGATCTCACCCAAAATTGATACGAGTGTATCCGTGCATTTTATCTGGCCTGACTGGAACAAAGTCATTATTAGGTTCTGTCAGACCCTTCAACGTTACGTGACGAGGTAGCTCATGTTTATCAGGACAGCGCTCTTCGGATGGCTGAAGCAGTTCTGTGGAAAGCCCGAATCGCGTCCCACTCACGTCCCTAAAGCAGCAATGCTTCCTGGCTGCGGTGTATCACAAGGTCCTCTGAGGCAATGATGATAACAGATGGTCGGCCGCCGGCAGACCCTCTTCAACCTGGAGGAGACCACCGAGCTGACGCACATGGGCCAGACGCTAAGCGAGATCGAGAAATACGAGGACCCGCGCAGCGACGACGAGGGCGACGACGCACTCGGAGGTAGGCCCCCGCGGCGTCGGGTCCGTCCGATTCGGCGGCAGCTTGGGACGCCCCGGTCAGCTCCCTCGGCGTCACCCAGCTCGTAGCGCGAACCCGCGTGCCGCGGGCAGACAGGGCTGTCGCTGCCGCAGCTCTGCTGGCTGCTGGCGATGTAATGCTCGGTTTGGGGCCTTCATTGGTGCCGGTTTTGCGGGATCGCCTCCCGCCAGCGGTCGTTGATATCGTGCGGTACGTGACGTGGCGCCGCTCGCCCTAACGGCTCCCGCCCCGCAGCCGAGTTCGTCAAGTCGGCCCACTTCGGCGGCGGACTGCTGGCCTCGGGCGGCCCCAACTCCGCCCAGAGCCGCAAGGAGTGGATCGATCAGATGATCGCCGACAGCAAGAAGCGCAAATACGACGCGCGAAAGGCCCGCGAGGAGACGCTCGAGATGACCGACAAACTGGACGACGACTACAAGCAGGTCATGCAGATCTTCAAGGACGCCGACCTCATGCGTGAGTAGAGGGGTCCTCCTGATGACGGGTAGTAGATCGGTCGGTATGGAGGCTGGCAAGACTCCCAGCGGCTGGGTGTGTGCCATGGTCAGGCAGTTCTTGCAAACAGTCGGCCGCGGTTTTATTGGAGGTGTTTGAAGTGCATCTGGCAAGCCGCAGCACACCTCGACGTGATTGTATGTAATGTTGGCCAACATGGCACCGGTAGTACTGCATTTTTATCAACAACCCCAACTAGATTAATTAAACGGGCGTCTGGTGAGTCTCCGGTACAACACCGCCTAAACATACTATCCATTCAGTCAGCTTGCGGCCATGCGTGGGCCGTGCGAGGTGTTGCCGTGTCGGCGCGCGACCTGAGCCGTCGTGGCGCCTGCCGACAGGCCCGACCCGGGCGAAAGAGCGGACGCGAGAGCCGAGCCCCGAGCCGGCACCGGCACCGGCACCGGCACCGGCAGCGGCAGCGGCAGCCGCCGCCGCCGCGCCCGACCCCTCCGACGAGTACGACATGCTCGTGCGCCAGCTGGCCTTCGAGCCGCGCGTCGGGGTACGTCAGTGACGTCAGCGCCGGCTGTCGCAGCTCGGTGGTCAGCGACCGGTGCTCAGCTGCAACGCGACCGTAACCTGACTGTAACGCAACAACTGTAACGTGTCGAGGACCTTGCTTGACCGTCGGTCTGTGTGTTTGCTCCAAGCACAAAGCAAGATCGTGAGTGAGTCATGTTGCCTATTTACGGATCAAACGGTCGCTCTGTGCACCGTTTCGCCGCCCCATCCTACTGCGTGCTGTGCGCGGCTCTGTGACTCGCCTTCGCCCTGGCAGGCGTCGGAGCGGACCAAAACGGACGAGGAGGTGAAGCGGGAGGAGGCGACACGGCTCCGCTTGCTGGAGGAGGCGCGCCAGCTGCGCATGCGCGCTGACCCGGAGGAGGCGGGCGGGGCGCGGCCGGCCGTCCACCGCAGCGCCGATGACCTGGACGACGGGTGAGAGCTGGCGGGCGCGGGGCACCGGCGGGGCGCTTGTTTCGAGAGGGTCTACCGCCGCTGGGGGGAGGGGGCACGGGATAGCCAGGGGGCGGGGAGAGAACGGCTGGACAGAGTGGCCCCTGTGAGCGATGTGGGAAAGCCGGGCACGATGCTCGCGTCAGTAAGAAGATAATGTTTCATGCTCCTAAACCATTTGTTTCGTCCCATACCTGGCATGCGGTTGCACGGGTTTCTTGTGGGCTGTCACGACCTGTCTCAGAATGCTAGACGGGCTTCCCTGGGATGAGAGGTCAGTATCATGCGCTCGTTCCTGTATACCATCCCCCATCTGTGCCGTAGCCATCCGTCCTCAGTAGCCACCCTCCGCGCGGCCCTGTCTGCCGCAAGCTTGCTGTGACCTGCGCCGTCCGCCTGTCGCCGCAGGTTCCTGCTGGACGCCAAGCCGCAGCAGCGTCTTGAGCTGATCGGCGATCAGCTGGTGGTGACGTCAGAGTTGCCGGACGTGCCGCTGACGGGCCGCCAGGCCAAGAAGCGCCAGAGCCGGCTACAGCGGCAGCGCGACGCGGAGGAGGAGGCCGAGCAAACGCTTCCTGAGGCAGGTTAGTCTCCGGCTGCAGCCGCAGCGAGGAGAGGACCGAACAGGCACCTCCTGAGACAGGTTAGTCTCCGGCTGCAGCGGCAGCGCGACCCGGAGGAGGAGGCCGAGCAAACGCTTCTTGAGACAGGTTAGTCTCTGGCTGCAGCGGCAGCGTGACGCTGAGGAGGAGGCTGAGCAGACTCCTCCTGAGACAGGTTAGTCTCTGGCTGCAGCGGCACGGCCGCAACAGACGCGCGAGGATGAATTTTTATGCTTGAAAATGGAACGTCTTATTGTGTGGCCATGTGTCCCGTCATGCAGGATATGTCATGTCGGCAAGGACATCATACCTGCGCTCAGGTACCAAATTGCCAATGGAAAATTAAACGCCGGCCTCTCACGGAGTACCTTCGCGGCGTCTTGAATCATCAGGTGCAGATAGCCATTAGATCTTATCTTATTGACCTAAATCTCATCTCATCGGTATTCACAAGCAAGTTTTGTTCTAACTGGTTGCCGCTTTCGATAACGGAAAAACGCATTGCTCGTAACTCGCAGACCAGTACATGGCGTTGAAGTTGCGAGTTCGTGTCATATTGTTCAGGTCGTGTCTCACTGTATTCAGTTTTAGCTTGTCGTGCATATGTGATGTATCGTATTGGGAGGCAGTGAAACCACCGTTCCGTTTACAGGATCCTGACCCTACCTTTGATCGTTTTCAGTCACGCTCCCTAAAGCCAAGCTTCCGACCTACAAGAAGCTCAGCGCCACCCTCCGGGCCCTGCTGCCGCTCGAGCAGACGCGTCACCTGACCGAGCTTGTGACGTCGCTGGATCCGCAGCTGTCGCCGGGCAACAAGGCGCTGCTCATCTCCCTGTACGAGATGCTCCTGCGCTACATCGGCGACTGCTGCCGCCGCTCGGGCGCCGCGGCAGACACCGGTTCGCCGGGCGGCGGACAGGTGGCGCTGCGCGCGGTGGACGCACTCGTTCCGCTGCTGTACGACCTGACGCAACGGCTGGGCGACGCGGCGTACCTGAGCTGGGTGGCGTGGCTGCGGCGGCGGCAGGCGGCGTACGGCCGGCGCCGGCGACGCTCCTTCCCGGGCCTAGAGACGCTGCTGCCGCTGCGGGTGTGTGGCCAGCTGTTCCCCAGCTCTGACCGCCGCCACCCGGTCACCATGCCAGCCATGTTGATGCTGTGCCAGATGCTGGCGGAGTGCCGCGTCACCTCGCGCCGCGAGCTGGCCGCCGGACTCTTCGTCGTCTCGCTTCTGAATGAGGTCAGTGCGGGGGGGGGGGGTCCAGTGTTCCAATATTCGGCCACTGGGGTGGCATGGATGTCGATATCTTTTCATGCTATAACACCCCGGCCTTGGGCTCACTGGCTGTGGTCCTCCCCTTGCTCAAAATTGGCCAATCAGCATCGAACCGCGCGGCTGTCAAACCAGTATTTATATGCTTCAGGCTTGACAAATGGGCTGGGTAGGTTAGATGTCCAGGTCGGGGTCAAAAGGCAATAGATTAGCGCCAACAGATAGCGCCAATAGAAGGGACCGCTGGAGAGGCAGGGTTCTGGTGGCATGAATATATATTTACATCCTTAACACCCCACTGGATGAATTTTGGAACGCTGGGGGACGGGGGGGGGGGGGGGCGCTCGGCGATGTCTCGCTTTGTTATGGGACTGAAAAAGCCCTGCTGGGGAACATTTCGTCTCCTAAATGACTTCTACTACGCCCGCTGTCGTTGCTGTCTAACCGGTATAAAGACGAGCTTATGTGGGGCCAGAAACGTTGCGCTCTCTTTGATAAGATCTCATCTGACAGTTCTTCTCGACATCGGCACCCAAATAGCGTGGTGGGACATCCCTCGTTTAACCTGTTTGATCACGTGGCTGACCGCGGGCGGGTGGCTGGCGTTTCTGCGCGAGCGACGGGCGGCGCGCCGCCGTCCCGGCCGTGACGTGGCGCGTCTGACCGAGACACCTCGCGCCCGCCGCAGTTCACAAGCCTGGCCAGCCGTTACGTGCCGGAGGTGATCGGCTTCCTGCAGAGCGTGCTGTTCACGGCTGTGCCCAGCGAGCGCCAGGCGCCGCTGGCCGGCCACGTGCTGCTGCCCCAGCTGCCGCGCGGACCCCACTCCAGCCTGCTGCAGCTAACCACCAGGTGGGCAACGGCTCGCCGCTGCCGGCTGCCGGGCTCTGGCTCCCAGCCAGGAGCCCATCAGGCATGGGACGACTGGGCGTGTAGGACAAGGGGAGCAGATAGGTGTGCATAATGTGACGTGGGACGGCTAACGGTGTCGCCGCTCCTGCTTGAATGTGAATGCAATGGACAAATCAGTCGATGTGCCATTGTTTTGTCGTGAGGTCCTGCTGCTGTCACCAGTGTTCGATTACCCTTCTCTCGCCCTTTCTGTGTGTCATCAGTACTGTGCTGGTGACCACTTTCCTCTGCTGACCTGCACTCTCCCATCTGCTGACCTGCACTCCCCCATGTGCTGACTTGCCCTCTCCCTATTGCTGACTTACCCTCTCCCATCTGCTGACCTACCACCCCTCCCTCACCTCGGCTGTGCCGGCAGCCTCTGTGTATCTCTCTCTGCTAATCCCCATTCTCCCTGCAGCTGCGCCGGTGATCTCTGTGGTCCTCTGCCCCTTCTCCGCTGACCTGCCCCGCTCCCCGGCAGTTGCGCCGGCGCGCCGTGTGAGCCGCTGCCCCTCCCCCGCTGACCTGCCCCGCTCTCCGGCAGCTGCGCCGGCGCGCCGTGTGAGCCGCTGCTCTCACTGTCAGCCGTCGAGTCAGAGGCGCCGCTGACGGACGCAGCGCGCGCCTCCTGCCTGCACGTGGCCGCCTCGCTGGTGCGCCAGCTGGCCGAGCGGCACGGCCAGCTGCCGGCCGCCTCCGAGATCTTCGGCCCGCTCCGGCTTATGATGGCCGCCGTGGACGTCAGGAGGTGGGCTGCGCCAGCTGGCTGCGGATGGTCACGGTCCGGGGGTCACCCGGGACGCGTGGTGAACACTTGTGTTGACCACTTGACCTCCACCTACGGTAGTGATCGTGGGTCGGTGAGGGAGGACAGCTTGGCGCGAGCGCGGCATAGTTACTTTAGCAACGGAATGGTAGATGTAAAGCTCGGTGTTTCGGTACGGTATAGATCAGGGTATCTTAAGATTGCGTATGGCTATAGATGGCTAGATGGCTATATAGATGGTTATATTTTGGCATTGCAAGCATGTATGTTTTACGAACACGTTACGGTGATCATGCTCTTTTGTCATCCTTCATAATATGGCGAAGCTAGCTCTGATTTTCGTTTAGTTACCACTTGCGCTAGCAGGGCGTGATTGAGAAAGGTGCTGACGTCCATTTTTCTACGTGGATGATGATTTTGCGATCGCCGTGCTCGACGTATGTTTTGATCAACATATCGTTCCTTTTCCCAGATACCCCGACGTTTTGCGCAACAAGTGGACGGCGTGTCTGAACACACTAGAAGGGATTAGCTCTGAGAAAACCACCCTGGAAAAGAATAAAAAACGACCTAAACCCCTCCGTTTGTACGAGCCTGCTATAGAAGAGAAGTAAGTGGCTACCGAAACTGTGCATTGGTCGCATCATGTGTCGCAGCAACGTGATGGCTTTGGTTAATAGGTTAACTTCCTGGAGCGGTTTGCCAATTCGGAATATGTGCTGGTCTGTTTGTGGCCCGTTACTTGGATGATAGTCTTGAGTTCGGTACCTATCCTCCAAAAAGCGTTCTGTCGTCTCACTAGTGCTGTATGCGGCGGGCCGTGGTGTACCCTGACGTGTGCTATATGCACCGGCGTTTTCAGTCTCCACGGGCATGTGACATATGAGCTGGCCCGTGTCATATCCCGGATCTATAACGTGTCGATGCCGCTTGCTTGACCCGAGCCGCGTCCGGCAGCTTTGACGGCCGGCGGCGGCGGCCGGGCTCGCACGAGAAGCGAGAGCACGACAAGCTGGTGCACAAGTACAAGCGACAGATGCGCTCGACGGTGCGCGAGGTGCGCCGCGACAACGCCTTCGTGGCGCGCCAGAAGCTGACCGAGATCAAGACCAAGTGAGTAGGGCCGCGGCGCCGACGGGGGCGCGGGAGGGAGCTGCGGTTGGCTGCCGTCGGGTCGTCTGCGGACGAGATCAGTCGTGATACACCGATTAGGGCCTGGTGAAAACATAGCGTATGGCTGGTGAAAACAGTAGAAAACATAGTGTGAAACCATAGCGTGAAAACATAGTATATCACACCATGAAACCATAGTGTAACATGGATCTTACATAGATAATAGTGTAAACACCCGATTTCTTAGCCGTGGATGGGGCAAACACGCAAATCCGTATCGTATTTGCGTGTTTGGACCTGTTTCCACAGGTCGCCCGTCTAGTTTGTGTTGTTGACATTACATATTGCTCTACACGCCCTTGAAGCCCTACAAAAGATGCGACGGGAGCATCTGATTCGACCCACTGATAAGCACGGGGTTAACTGCCGAACCGTGGACCTCTCGACGCTGGTTGGCTCAACCTCAGCGGCTGGCTGGTGGGCGGCCCCGCCGGGTCGATCCTCCCTAGGGAGGGGAGGGGTCAGACTGCCGACTTCTCCCTGGGGAGGGGAGGGGTCAGACTGCCGACTCCTCCCCGGGGGTGGACTCAGACTGCCGACTCCTCCCCGGGGCGGGGTCAAGTCAGACATGCGCTGCTGCTCACACCCAGCCTCGTGTTTCAGGGACGACGACCGAAAGCGGAAGCTGAAGGACCTGATGGCGTCCCTGGCCAACCAGGAGGGTGACTTCAAGCGCATGAAGCGTCAAAAGTGATCGAGCATAGCTATCGCTGGGCCTGTCCTGTTTTGTTATGGAGGAAATACACGCTCAGTCTGGTGCTGGTGTGTTATTCTTACAACCAAAGTGTTGGAAGAGTGGTGTGTTGCGCGGGCGATAGGCGTGCGGTGGAAGTAGTGCTCGCAACCTGCCATGTCGCTGATCTGCCATAATCCGTCACGGAAGACTTGACTGATGGCTCCCCAAGTAGAAGGACCGCGCTTGGAACGCGTCTACCTTTCAAGGGAGGTGGGTTCCTATTCCATGCGTTTTCGTCTCATCTCAAGAGAATGTGGACATAATTAATATATTGAACAAAGTCAAATCCATCTGGGTGCCAACTTCATCCCAGCAATGGTTACTTCAGGGTAAGGGGTCGCTCTGTTGTGTTTTGATGCGATGGTCTATAACGTTGCTTTGGTTGGCTAATGTTCGTTTCCATTTTCCCTTGGCATCTTTTCATCATTGGTCGCTCTCCTGCTATCGGCGTGAAGCCACTGCCAGTTGGATGTCGGAGCTGTTCTGACAGATGGCCGCCACGGTAGGAACTTCACAAGGGCTTGAGTGGTCTCGATCACGCAAATCCCTCAGCAAGAACGTGTTGCCTCGAGGAGTTGTGTGCAAATGATTTGACCTGTATGCAGCACAATGTGTTTCCGAATGGCGATCATCTTCCGCCTCTGATGGCCGCAGATCGGTCCTACTAAGTGCGTTGTTCTCCAATGTAAACAGTGATCAATGGGGAAATATTTGCATAATCTGCGAGAAACATACACAATGAATAGTTCCACAAAACCTGCCACAATGTGGGACGATATGCAAACACTTGGCTACCTTTAACAACCCATAAACGGGGCAAAATCTGCATCATCGGCACGCTCGGCTGCACGACAAGTGCGCCGACATAGGCTGCTGACGGACAGGCAGTCGCAGTTTGTCAACACGACCACCATGTACATAACGCCAGTCAGTTCTGAGCCGGCCGGAGCAGGGCGCAGTGTGGATCTGTGTCCCTTCTGAGCCTGACTCGAGCGGAGCCCGCGTCAGTTCTGAGCCGGCCGGAGCAGAGCGCAGTGTGTATCTGTGTCCCCTCTGAGCCTGACTTGACCGGAGCCCACGTGATTCGATCAAGTCTGGCCGGCCGTCCTCAGACGCCAGCATTATGAGGACGATGTGGCTGACAGGTGGATGGCCAGGAGTCCCCCTGTGAGCTGCGATTGCCACTACTGGCGGCCTCACGCTCTCGAGGTCCCGATACCCTCCCCCTCCACCCCCACCTCTCCAACCTCTGACTTGTGACGAACGCGGTGGGTGCAGTACGCGTATATGGCCCCACAATACTGTTTGCAATCTCTCGAGTAACTCGAGTAACTACCACAGCTGCTGTGGTGGTCACTGGTCAGGTTTTCTTGGTCGGCGGCAGAAGCATGTCCTCGTCATTGACGCGTAGCAGTCTGATGTTTTCATGATCGGGGAGCGACTCCACCAGATCCACATCATCGGCGGTTTCTCCGCGTTATGTTCCGTAATGACGTGCCATGCCCTCATAGTCGGCCACAGCGGCTAAATGTCCTCTCCGTTGACGGACGGTCGGCCCACGTCCTCGGGGTCGACAGGGGACCGCGCCCTTCACCAACGGTAAACGCTCAGCCCACGTCCCCGTGAGCAATGCACGACTGCTCGATACACTCACGAACAGTGGACCACCCACTCACGCCCTAGTGATCATATGGGGGCCGCGCCACGTCCTCATGGATGGCAGACGACTGACCCGCGTCCTCGCGGTCCAGGGGAGACCGCACCACGTCCCCATGAATGTCAGATGACTGACCCGCGTCCTCGCGGTCCTGGGGAGATCGCACCACCTCATGAACGGCGATCGACTGCTCCATGTCCTCACGATCCCGCCCCACGGAGCACCGCTGCGCGCCCTCGTGCGCGCCCTCCAGCGGCAGTCACATGTCCTCCCGCTCGGCGACCTCTGCCGGCGGCGGCCGCAGGTGCCAGGGCGGCGGCAGAAGCGCGAACGGCGGGTACAGCGGAGGCGGCTGCATCGGCCGCGACAGCAGCGCCTCCACCGAGAACGGCGACAGCCGCGACTGGTGCGCCGGCGGCGGCGGCGGCGCCTGACACAGCGGCACGAACGCCGAGCGCTGGCCGCTGAGCAGGAGCGGCGGCCCGGCCGCGCACGACGCCTGCAGCGGCCGCAGCAGCTGCTGTCGTACGCGACTGCCCGTGCCGATGAAGTGCTCAATCGTCTTGATCAAGTCGTTGTGACACGCCTCGAGCCGCTCCTCGAGCACGCCTGTCTTCTGCGAGGGGAAGATGCGGCGCAGGATCTGCATGTGGCTGAACCAGGACGGGTCGGGCCCGGCCGGCTCGACGGCCGGCTTGTGGTCGGCCGGCTCTGACTGGTCACTGCCGGCGTCGACCGCCGACTCCGGCGCCCGGCACTCCTCGTCGCTGGTGGCTGACTCCGCCTCTGGTGGCCAGCAGAGCGGAGAGAGGTTAGCGGCCGACCGACCCTCATCCCAGGCACGACAGCTGAACACCGACATCGGCCGAAGCTGGCTGAAGCATTTGACGTGTTGCGGCAGGATAGCATACAACGAACTGATGTCATATTCGGGCAATCGTGAACTGTAATCGATCGGTATTTCAAATCCGTATTATGTGTCCAGGTGCCTCTGGTGCCCGTCCGGGCCTATAAGTGCACGATGTCGGATCACAGGAACGCAACCGTTAGCTGCGCTTTACTGTCAGCGGTAAGTCGGCCAAATCCGTGACGAGGCCACCAACCAGGCTCCACTTCAAGTGCCTTGTGATGCCCTGATGCCCCCCCAAAAACACTAGCGTTTAACTACATCCCAGCCCCGCAAATGGGGGTGACGCGACATGATGTTATGCTTTCTGGCGTTAACGTACGATTTGTTGCGTCGCTGGAACAGGAGGGTAGCTCCTGGCTACCTGTTCTTGGGTAACAGTGTAGAAAAATGATGCTTGACCTTCACACTACATGCATCACACCCATGCCCTGACATGACACAGCCCTGTTTGCGGGTCAAATAGCTGGCGCATGGGCCGCCGCGGTGTCTGAGCGAGTGTGCTCTGTCAGACGGGAGGGCGGCGCGCCCGCAGCCCGGCCAGCGGAGGGTCGCCGGCGCCCGCGACTCCGGATCACCGACCACGGACTACGCAAACAGGGCGCCACTCAGGCCGGCCCAGTCAGCTCCGGCGGCCGGCCACAGTATCCTCGTCGTGTTGTTGTTTTACATGAGCCATATGGCGGACAGGCGGGAATATTAGCCTTCGCGGATTTGGGGTGACGTTAATGCGGACACGGCGGTGACAACGCTGTCTCCCCCCCCCCCCCCTGAGGGGACGCTGCTACAAGTCAGAGACAAGAGGGCGGGCAGGTCCATGGAGGGGAATCAGCGGACTACGGTGAGTGGTACCAGTATGCATGTAGGGCTCAGGAACATATGACGTTGTGGACAAGATTGTCAAAAAAGACATGAGCAATGCCAAAGTGGAATAAGGATAGCCGTGCGACGTGTGACTACCACTACGTGCACAAAAATATTCTGGCGTAGTATGCAGACTGCGAGCGGTGCGTCTGGCAATAACAGATCTGCGCGTCTCCCCTTGTACACAACAGGTCATATATTGGACGTGCAAGCCACAGCGCACGAAGCCAGCCGGCGAGAGCTTGAGCCCCTGCACCGGCTTCACCGTACCGGTGTCGGCCACGGGTCTGCCGCCCTGGGGCCGGGTGATGTTCATGCCGAAGATGGGCCCGGGCGGCAGGTAGGCGCAGCTGGAGCCGGTGGCCACGGCGCGCAGACCCATGGCGATGGCGTCCTCGGCCGCCTGCTGCCTCTTCAGCGCCACCTGCGGCGGCGGCCACGGTACTGCCACGGGCTGGAGCGGGACGCAACGCTCCGACAGACGGGAGCGGGACGCTCCGACAGACGGAAGCGGGACGTAACGCTCCGACAGCCGGGAGCGGGACACAACGCTCCGATAGACGGGAGCGGGACGTAACACTCCGACAGACGGGAGAGGGACGTAGCACTCCCACAGACGGGAGCGGGACGCAACGCTCCGATAGATGGGAGTGGGACGCAACGCTCCGACAGACGGGAAAGGGACGTAATATTCCCACGGACGGGAGCGGGACGCGGCGCTCCGACAGATGGGAGCGGGACGCGGCGCTCCGACAAACGGGAGCGGGACGCAACGCTCCGACAGACGGGGGCGGGACGTAACGCTCCGACGGGCGGGAGCGGGACGTAACGCTCCGACAGACGGGAGCGGGACGTAACGCTCCGACAGACGGGAGCGGGACGCAACGCTCCAACAGACGGAAGCGAGACGTAACGCTCCGACAGGCGGGAGCGAGACGTAACGTTCCGACAAGCGGGAGCGGGAACTCCCGCAGACTGGGACGGGCACTCTTACCGACTGGGATGGAACAAATCGCCACAACAGAGTGGGACGGACGCTCCTTTAGGATGGGGTGGAGACAGAGGTACAACATTCCTGCAAACCAGGGTTAAGGGTTAAGACGAACACGGACTGGGACAAGAACCGGTGCATAGATCGGTACACAAACCGAGCCACAGATCGAGACGCCTATCGAGCACAGATCGAGGTACCTACCGGGCACAGATCAGGACGCCTGAGGGGCACAGATCGAGACACGCACCGGGCACAGATCGAGACATGCACTGGGCATAGATCAGGACATATACCGGGGAACAGATCGGGGCGAATGTGGGGGAGAGGGGGGGGGGGGGGGGCGCAAGTCGGGCCTCTGCTGGGACAGAGATCTGCCCGGAAGCTGAGACACGGACCTTTCGCCAGTCAGGGCACAGATCAGCACACAGGCCGGAACACGGCACCGATGGTCGCGTCGCGCACCGTGCAGACCGCTCTAAAACGCCAAGCCAAGGGCGATCAAAGCCAAAATAAAAGTACATAGACAATGGGTTTAGGCCCGCACAAAGGTAATGAACTATCATTCGGCATCCTTGGTACATCTCAGCTCTCTATATACAGCTATCAGCGCCGAGTTCCAGGCGCCTAATGTGCACGTCCCAGCCGGAGGCGGCAGCGGCCGCGCGGTGCTCTGGTTACCTGCAGACTCACCTGGGCGGCCATGACGCGCTGCCGCTCGGCGATCAGGCTGCACTTGGCGCATGCGCAGTCCTTGAAGCGGCAGTGCCGTTTGTGGCCCTTCAGCCACGAGATGACGCCGTGATTACGGCAGCGCGCGCACTTGGGCTTGCGTGCGCCCTTTTCGGTGGTCGGGTAGGTCAGCGGCTGGTGATCCATGGTGACGATGCAGCCCTAACGACAGCGTGCTGAGATTAAGAAAAGTGAAACAAATTAGTTAAAAAATTTGCTGTGACTCCGAAACGAAATTATGCCGTTTCCCATAAGTTCCAGTTCTAAAAAAATCCGAAGCGGAGCCGAGTGGGAGGCTCACGGGCTTTAATCTCGCCGCCATCAGGTGTCATACGCCATTTGTTCACCACAGTTAAATTAAACACAATTTCCTAATCTGGTGATCATTGAAATTGTTTCGTTTTGCATCTCGTTGACAGCTGTGAGCGGTGACATTTCGCGCCCAGTAGAAATTTGGAGACAAATTTGGAAGAGTGTGGTGATTTAGTCATATCCAAGAACTGACCCGGCGATTTACTACAAATCTGTGAGAAGGGTGACAGTCTTTAGTCACTTGGCTGAGGCAGAGCAGCGCCCTCTATCTTTCAGTGTACTTTCGACTGCACACACGCACGTGTCTTGGTTGAGCGAGTCAAATATGTACACTCTTGCAATTGGTAAGGGCGTGTGGTTAAGGTTTCACGTTGTATTCATTCTACCATGAACGCTAACCTTGGTAGTATAAATATGTGCAGTGTTTCTAAAAACAAGACATCGATTCTCAGAACATAAGAATGCTGGGACAAGTTTTTGTTGCCAGAATACGCACAGGAGTTGCCTCAGAGCCTACCTAAAATTTGATTATGCGCATCAAGAGCGGAACTGCTAGTTTAAATGGTGATTGCCACTCCACTAAATAATATGCTAAATGTGCATCAATAAAGCTTAAGTAAACTTTATGGACTTGACGCATTGCTGAATTGATTCTAAGATAACATTGTGGATGAGGGGCACATATATCAAAGGCTGGGAACATCTGTCCTAAATATATTTTGTTTAGTGCGATGACATTACCCATCTGTAGTTAGTGCAAGTAATTTTAAATCCAATTCTAGGTTTCTGGGAACAGCAATCTGCCTATTTCATAAGATAATTCAACCGTATCTTAAAACGAAGGCCTGAACTCCATGTGTCCACACGTAAATTTCATTCATCCGCTGCTGGGAGACGGTGGTGAGGCCCAGTGGGTTAGGATTTTATCGGATGTTGCATTTGGGCGCGGGCTGCCGCGACTCTGACATGCTCCAAATCAACAGTGTTACACCTAATACCACTTACGCGGTGGTCGGGTCGACAGGATCGGTGGCCTGGTCCAAATCGGCCATTTCGCTGGCCAGGCAGTCAGAAGTTTCGTTCCCATAGTAAAACTGCCATGGCCGAGCCCCCAGTGCGGAGCCCGGTTATAAATTTGTCATGCAATGAGTACACCAGCCTCTGTATTTTAGCGGAACGGATAAGGATCTGGCCACAAGGCGCATCCGCAGCACCTGCTGACCTGATTCTAGGTCCATGATGAGGCGGCTGTCGTGGGTACGTTTCAGATCCGATGCCAACAGGCTGTACACAGCCCTCTGCGTTTTCAAATAACGATCGGCTTTGCACGAGCTGCCTCGGGGTTTTTCGGCGGTTACCTCTCCGGTACGTTGTGCAATGGCGACCAATCTTTTCGTATGCTCCGGGACATCCATTGCGCGTGTTTTTACGTAAAACGCGTCCCTAGCAATGCCGGCTTCTGAGTGGCCGCCTGCTTTTAGGAACACTGCACGAGTAGGTGGCTACTCTGAGTAGCCACCTACTCTTAGGAACACTGCACGACGACCCACGGCCGGCGAGGGTGACGGGCGGCAACGGACGATCCCGCGGACTGCGAGCGACGTGCCGACACCGTTACATGTGTTTGAAAACGGGCCTCAAAGTGACACAGTCTACAGAGACTGCTTACAGAGATATAACGACACGATGCAGACTTATCAGATCTTGTAGACAGACCGAACTTCATCGGAAAGGACATTACGTGTTGAGCAATTTAAAATCCAAAGATGAGCCAGAAATGCCTCTCGGATGTTCAAATATCGAATTATTTGGGCCACACTACGTGAGCCAGAAATTATTCAGCAACTAAATATCGCACAAAACATGACCTTATAAATCATCATTATTTTAATCATTTTTATGATTACCCACCCACCACGCACATGTACAGTTTTCTAGAAGCGATTATGGGTGCGCAAATGCACAGTTTTCTGACCCTGAAATCTGTCGTAAGGCCTGTTGGACAGAAAGTTAACCTAGCCAATCCAATAATGCCATTTGTTTTTCGTTTGAAGTGCTTTTCATCCGCGAAGACCTGTGAGTTCTGCATGAATGTGACGATGGATGGTGACGGGCGGAAGAAGCCGGCTTGATACACATCCTTTGGTACTTAAAGTATTTAGGTACCTTTGCCCACATAGGTGGATCCTGGGGGCACGGGGTCATGGCCCCCCCCAAAAAACTCTGGGAGTATGTTTTGCCCCCCCAAACATTCCCAGAACTTCATAAAGCTTTCGCCTACATACCGTCTGCTTTAACTTTGATGGTGCGGTATCAAACATTTCTGTTGACTCTTGAAAGCAATATCTTATGTTACGAGCTTCGTAAACATGCATACTCTATATAGAAGATTCAAAAGCATTTCGGTGCTTGAATGGTGTCCCTACTACGCACTCGCGAGAGGCACCATGCACTGGACCTCGGATCCCACACCAGCCAGCTGGCGACGAACGGTTGCCCCCCCCCCCCAAACTCCAGGCTAGATCCGCTCCTGTTTGCTCACCCCCGGCCGCTCAGAAAAATATTCAACGGCGTTTCCAGGGGCGACCGGACCATAACCCGTAAGAAAGCTGAAGTCGTCCAAAAAGCACACATTTCTAGACTTTGGAAAACATAAAAGCGGCTTTTACTCAGCGGAGGTTGTTGTAGCATACTTAGAGGTGAAAAGAGCTTAAATCTAAAGAATTGCAACAAAATATTTCCACTTGTGGGTCCCCCGGCATCCAAAATGGAAAACCACACCCAGCCACCATGAATAAATAGCCGGGAGTGGCTTGCTAATCAAGCGAAGAAACGGTCAGTCGGACGGCGTCTGTCATTCGGTATCTATCGTAGCACTGATCGCCCAGTCATCCTCCCCGTTCCACCCCGACGCAAAAGCCGTGCTTTGTCCGCTGCATGGGACCATTCATGAGATCTAAACACATTCACACCACAGACACACAAACTTCAGCAACGAACGGTTAATGTGTGGTTTGACAGAGCGGCTCTCAGTCGTTTCTACCGTCTACTGATGGCATACCGGTGGAGGGGTCGGCGCTCGGTGCCCCGCATGGCACATTATGTGATTTTCTGCGCTAGGCAGGAATTGGTGTAAAATGGTCGCTAGCACAGGTTTACACAGGCACACAGACGCACAGGCACAGGTACCAGTGCCGGCTAAACGACTCATGATTTGCTTAATCTGAAGAGCACCGTTCTCCTTCTCTCATTATCGAAGGACGGACCAGCCGACATTTGGCCCCAGGTAAGCCGCCCGACCCGCCGCACAGCGGAGCACTGCGGCACAGTATGCCGGCACGCACGGGCCCAGCGACGCCGTCCTCGGCCGGCGCGCCGGACAGTCGCGTCGCCCAGGACGCCGTCGACGGATGTCTCCGGCCGCAGTTGGAAACGAATCGCTCTGGGAGACAGTTTACTTTTGCCTCTGCTCTGACACGACCATGATTTCATGTTCATCAGTATGATTACCACCATGGACAGGAGTGCATTTTCCTATTCAGTTAGGGTGCTTCAGCCCCCCCCCCCCCCAACTTTGAGCAGGAAATGGGCCAAGTCTGCGAAAGATCTGTTTGTTGACTTATTTTCGGGGTTGAGTGGGTAATTTTTCACTGTTCAGTCGCCTCCCCCAACTCATTTTGCGAAGCTACGCGGCTGGCCCAGAGACTTGTCCGCCACCGGGATTGGCGGAGTCCGGACCCAAGTAAGATTTGGGCAGGTTGGACCTTCTTTGTGTGTTCGTGACATCGGATCACACGAGAGGTGTTTATGTTCTTGTTTAACACTGAACATGGTATGCCGTTATGGATACTCCTCCTGTTCGTGCCGTTGTGCCCTCAAAAAGGAACAGCATGGAAATGCGACATGCCAAAATTACTAAGCTTTGTAATAGTTGTTTGGATGGAATCTTTGTCAGAGCATTCATTGCTTTGATGGGGAAGCTGGTCGCATCCCAGCAGGCATAGCGCTATTGCATGGAAGCTTTAAGGCGAATTCGTTGCGGATGTTCAGCCAATGGACGCAGCGTCGGATCGCCAGCTCCACAATACTTCGGTCTGGCGTCCATTGCTGCGATAATACTGCAGCGAAACCGTTAGCCCTTACTTGAGCCCTGATCTCAGAGCAAAAAATCACGAGCCGACTATTTTTCTATAGGGATAGAAGTCTGAATGGTTATCTGCTGAATCGTCCCTGGATCCCGTTACGTCGCAGAGGCCTAGGATGCACCTTACAAACATGAGGTGCATTGCCACTAATTATCCCAGCATTGGGCACCTTGATAGAGACAGATTTCCTCAGGTCTAGCGAAATCCACTATCAGAGCTGCCTCCCTCGCCCGTGCACAAACAGCGCGTACCTGCAGTCAGACGTCTGGTCGGGTGGCTGAGCAGAATCAGGAGACGTGCCCTGTCTGGACCGACCGGCTGGAGGTGACAGGAGTGCCCTGCCTGGTCGGACAGCGCAGCAATGTCTGCCCCTCGCGGGGCAGCACAGCTCGTGTGCTGTCAGTGTGCGCTGCAGCTCTCTCTGTCCGGACGCGACTCGGCCCGGTCAGCGGGGAGGCGTCGGACGAGAGAGCGGCTCCGCACCGCCACCGACGCCCGACAGCTGACGAGTGACGACTCGTCGCCGCCGACGCCGCCCGTCGTCGTCGACGCCCCTCCCGTCGACGGCGACGGGGTCGACCGAGCGTCGGCGGCGACGAAGCTGGCGCAGCGCAAACGCGGCTGGGTAACGGATCCGGCGGAGTCGTCCCAGGCATAGACCGGATCCGGCGGGATCGTCCCAGCCGCAGACCGGATCCGGCGGAGTCGTCCCAGCCGCAGACCGGATCCGACGGAGTCGTCCCAGCCGCAGACTGGATCCGACGGAGTCGTCCCAGCCACAGACCGGATCCGGCGGAGTCGTCCCAGCCGCAGACCGGATCCGGCGGAGTCGTCCCAGCCGCAGACTGGATCCGACGGAGTCGTCCCAGCCACAGACCGGATCCGGCGGGGTCGTCCCAGCCGCAGACCGGGTCCGGCGGAGTCGTCCCAGCCGCAGACCGGATCCGGCGGAGTCGTCCCAGCCGCAGACTGGATCCGGCGGAGTCGTCCCAGGCACAGACTGGATCCGGCGGAGTCGTCCCAGCCACAGACCGGATCCGGCGGAGTTGTCCCAGCCGCAGACCGGATCCGGCGGAGTCGTCCCAGCTGCAGACTGGATCCGACGGAGTCGTCCCAGCCACAAACCGGATCCGGAGGAACCGTCCCAGCAGACCCTGTCCGCTGCAGGGTGACTCTGCAATCGCTGCCAGCTTTCGCTTCTCACATTGACATGGGCTTGAGGCCTAGTAAATGTGGCCACTGCAATCATAATTCAACTACAGCAAGCCTGGTTAAAAGTGACAAAAGACGACATAAGAGACTGATGTAATGAGAAACGACACCAGTATGTTTTGCGTGTCTTTGTCGGCAATTAGGCACTGACAGCCCTCTTCAGATGTGCTGTAGGTATGCAACGCAAGGTAGATATGAAAGTCATCTCGTAGTTTAACACCATCCAACTACATTATTTACCTGTTCGGGGTGACATTTTGACAAGTTTTTCCTTGCAGCGGCTCGTTCTGTAAGCCTCGATTATCCGGCTTATATTTTATCAAGCAAAGACATTAATTTCTGTGAGCGAAAGGTCTGTGTATTTTTTGTCACTCGCACACAACCAGCTGCACTCATCTGGGGCACTTGCGTCCCGATGATTGTGATGCCTCGCAGATGGCGTAATCGGGTAAACCCCTGGGTCGCGGAGTCAGCTGCACTCCCCGCAGGGAGGTCGGCTGGTCCGGAGGCGTCCGGAGACCGGCCCCCGGAGACGCGGTTCAACACGGAACGCATTGGTGCGGCAGCAGCGCGGGGTTCATTCTGGACGTGCAGGCACTAGATAATTCGAAGGAAGCCTTCCACATTTGAAGATATTGAGGCAGGCATCCGATGTGGTGAAGAAGGTCACTTTTAACTTTTGGTATATTTTTTTAAGGGAGTGTTCCACATCTGTGTTGGGCTTTTAACTAAAATAGCGATCTTGAAAATCATTAACTGCAGTTCACAGCCCAGCCAGTTCCAAGACCTAAGCCCCTCTAGTATCTGAGATATACGCCCTCGAAAATGTGCATGCTATTTCAGGGACTGTTTCAAGGTCACTCAGACATCCATGGCGTCACAGTTATGTCATTCCAACTCTGCTATCCCATCAGCCATGCGGTGATCAAGGCCAGACAAAATATAATTGTTGAGTCGTTAATATCTGGCGTTCATGAGCACGATTTCCAGATATAACGGCCGTCAATTGGCTCTGAATCAATATTGTGCAAGGTACGATGGCTCAATCAAACAATGACGGATTTAGGAGCATGTTCACTGGGCAGAGAAGTTGTGTTGTCGAGAGGAGTCTTCTTCACTTAAAGGTATACGTAAATTCAAAAGTTAGCCTTTTGAATCATCTCTGATACTTGCTTCAATATCTTCAAAAGTGAAGCATTCCCTTTAAGTGGAAAAACGGCTCTAGGCAACACAATTTTGAATTAGGAGCTATGCTCCTCAATACGCCATTGTTTGACGCGTCATGAAACGTTTGTGTGACGGTGAGGTGCTACCAAACTAGCCGTGCAAACTTACCACGCTTACACTAACTTGTGCTTCAAACTCGCTGAGAGATTTGCGGCACGGTGCTGAAAGCGTTTGCTGAGCCAAATATTGGTATGTGTTGGTATTTCGGTCCTTTCTCGTGGTGTTCTTGCGTGTTTGTCCGTGGCATATAAAGTTTACTTACATTTATATGCCTGGCTATGTCGCTATTCTTCAGTTATTCGATTCCAAGTCTTATTTCTGTAATAACTAACAATTATGTCCAGCTGGTTGGGAATCGTGCTCACGGATGCTATGTTGGAACCACTCGACGATAATATTCTTTCTGACCTTGAACGCCGCATGGCCATTGGCGTGGTAGAATTCGGATGGCGTTGCTATAGTGTCATGCATGCTTGGATGGCATTGATAAAGTCTGCACGAAATGGTCTGCACATCTTGGCGAGTATGTAACTCAGAAACCAGATGATATTAGGTCTTAAGAAGATGGAGCTGTGAAATGCATCGGATCATCTTCAAAATGGCTACTTCAGCTCAAAACCCTATACAAATGAGGAACACTTCCTTTAACATCCACCCGGGTGGCCGGTTGGATTCCCTTCGTTCGGGTGGGGGTCAATTTGACCCCCCCCCCCGAGATCTCAGAAACTAAGAGAGCTAGGCACATCAAATTCACAGAGTGGCTGACAAAATCGCTGAATCAAACACACGTACAGGTCGCTATATCGACCTGTACGTGAATTCACTCAGATCAGAACCTGAGGTTTCAAGGTCATAACCTTCGTGTCAAATAAGGTCAAACAGTGTCAAATTCCAGATTGGTCTCCAAAGAGCCTCTGGATTCTAAATAGCTGTTCTAAGCAAGAGGTCGCACATTCATTTAAGGCCAATTACCTTGCTGGACCTTTTGAAGGTCATGATGACCAAAATCATGGAAGACCGCTTCGAGAATTGCATTTAAATAAGCAATGCAGATTACACTAGACAGCATGTTCTTAAAAGCAGAATGTTAACCTGGGTCATTTTAGGTCAGTGGCCTATTCTGACCTTTGAGAAGTCCATGAAAGGTGTATAATACGGTTCTTGTTATTAATAAACTCAAAATGGGCGCCTGAAACTGAGCCATGCAGGAAGTCCTAGAGTAATAAACCAGGTTTATTTTGACCTTGGTCTGTGCTTCATACCTGACCCTAGGTCAATGTAATTTATTCCTTTAACTGTGGTGTTGCCTAAGAAATTATCTCAGAGATGTATGACTTCGTCTAACACTCCGTTGTTGGATCAGGTTAAACGATTCCTTAGAAATTACCTTCGCTGAAACCATGGTGTGACTTTCACCTGCCATAGGTCAGCAACCTTACAAGGTACAGCTAAATTTTTGATACCAAACGATCTGCCATTCAGTTGTCTACATCTATGCAAATTTTGGCGCGGCTACGCCAAGCCGCTCCGAAACCATTCCGAAAAAAAACCTTGGGGGGGAGTCAATTTGACCCCAGCCCCACCCGAGCGCGTGTTAACATTCATTCTGGCTCTGTTCGTTGTTTGGGGCGGGAGAACGGATTCTTCGTGGCGTATTAGCGTGCCTATTTTTGGAACCAGGCGAAACTCTACGTTCATACCCATAGCTGGCTGAAGCGATCAGAAACAAATGACAAACGAAAATTATTGTGGTTAGAATGCAAATTATCATAAACATGCCAACCACTAAATTCAAGACATCTAATAAAAGTCAAAAACGTCAGCATAAACCTTAACCCTCTGGCCACGCATGCATTGTGAGGGCTCTACTTTGCTCTAAATACACTTTCAAACGCGATCAAAGTTGCTCTCACTCCAGAATTATTTGTCATTGCCGTTTGATAGATGGTGCTTCGAGGTCAAATATTTCCAGAAAATATTCCATAAGGGGCCCTTTGAATTGAGGCCTATCCGCGCGATGAAAACAGCACGGCGAAGATAAGGCACTGAATTGCACTACATCAGTACAGACACTATGCCATGAAAACACTGCACTGGTGATAGAACCGTGCGGAAACTTTATCTGACGAAAGAAAACAATGGGTAGAAACTATTTGTGTTTATAATTTCACAGCATTGTTGATACTGACGATACAACTCTTTTACCCCATTCAGCATATTTTAACACCTAACACATATCGAGCAACATGATTCAACATAATTTGACATAGCGTTGTCACCCGACATCGCTCCTTTAACCAAAACACCTGATTTTTCAAACTCGGGAGATTTGCTAAGTCTTCTGATGTTTGCCGTACCCCAGCGGAAATACGTCAATAATGGGGAGCCGGCAGACAGCAAAACACGTTACAGGTATGTCGCCCAACGTTCCCAAACAACCATCATCGAACATTATGCCATTCCCATCCGTGCTCCAGCACCATTACAACAGCAGGGCGCTGCACTGCTAGGAGCGTTGCTGCCACTTCAGCCACGATGATTCATCACTCGCGTGATGGATAGCTGCGGGTGGGGTGTGGATGCCGTCTCGTCACAGTGTGACGAGGCCGGAGGGGGTGTGGAGTCACGTCATTCCCATGACACGTTTTCCCGTGAGATGGCACACGCCTTGGAGACGGGTCGGGGATGAATACACGGCATTAATCAGTGTTTTGCTGAACCGATACATAAATCAGCCGTTTTACCGCAATCATGCACGTGCGACACGCATGAGAAAATGCCCGTGTGAGCCGTAGTAAGCAGAACAGATGTGTCCTGCGCGTCAGATGTTACTGAGCATTCGTTTTTGTTTTCTCTATTCATGCGTTTGCTATGCCAAAGCT